CATCCTACATCATATTGCACTGAAATCGTAATCCTGTTGATGTCGATACAACTTTTGGAAGTAGATTAATGACTACAAACTGTTAGTCCACGATTTTCTAAAACAACACAGCAAAGAAAGAACAATAAACATGTATTAAAATGTAAACAAATACATTGCTCAGTCCGACACCTCGTTCCAACAACTACACTGATCCCGAGGATAAGGGGCAAGGCTATGGTTGGAGGTACTGAGAGATAAACAAGGCACTCCATAATAATAAAATCTTACACATCTTTTGGTGAGTAGGAATGATATCCAGTCGAACCTCTTTAGGACGAACACCAAGGGACCGATGGTATATTTCTGTGAGTTTGTCTTAACCTAATTTATAACCAGTGAATACAATTATTTCTCCAATAAACATACAAATAGATTTCTTCTACAGCGAAAGATTCTAAGCCACACCAACTCATTGACTCGTCTCCTATGAAACAAATGAGTCACTAGAGAGGTTCTGCAAAACGAAAATGCGAACTTTCGTTCTACGTCATGAAGTGCGAAACTTCGCACGAACTTTCGCAACTTTGGACGCGAAACTTGCAGGGAACGCGAAGTGAACAGTCGTACACACTTTTGTGAGATCGGGTCATGGCGTACGTGCACTTGGCCCGCGCAAACTACGAAAATGTGCAGAACGCAAAATTCGTACACACTTTCGCAAGGACTGTCGCGAAACTTCGTTCGACTTTTCGTTTTGCAGAACCTCTCTACTGAACCTTTCTTAAGGCCCTCATCAGACTACGTACATAGAAAATCCAGTACAAAATCAGATAAAACCTAAAAGGCAACATTTTTCCATGCCTGCTTTCAGACTACACATTTTACATGCAATATACAGGCAACCTTTGACCCTACGAAATTGCGCAAGGGGCCTGGGATGTGTGAAAGCAGCGGACAGTCGTACCCGGGTACAAAGTTCGAACAACTGCCTGGTGAAAGTACGATAAATGCAGGAAAGTTGCCTTGTACAAGGGTTGGCACCCTGCCTGAAAGGATTGGGCAGCTTTTTAGGCTTCTCGCCAGATTCTTGTTGTTGTACTGGAAACTTCTACTTATATACAGAAGCCTTGCTTGGTAGTTAACATGTTTTTCGATTTTGACAGCATGTTACAAGGCGAGGACGCGTAGTGCTCCTGACTACAACCATAAACCCAATACGGTTCAAATGGTCGCAAGACCGGGACTCTGCCAACCGGTTTATGGTTGTAGTCAGGAGCACTACGCGTCCTCGCCTTGTAACATGCTGTCAAAATCGAAAAACTTCTACTTGTATGTAAATGTGACTTATAGGCTGTTTTGTACCAAGTCTGAAGAGGGCCTTAGCAACATGACGGCAACTGAAACAGCAACAGAGAAAGTACGATACATGTACAGCACATTCTTGCAGGTACTACAAACATATTGCAGATCGTAATTCTTGCTTTGGCGGCACGAAACTGTATTTGGGGCAGTGCAATCTAGGCGGTACTGACAAATAATAAATTAAACAGCCCAGACTCGAGTAAACAAATCCAATCATACAAGTACGAGATCTTCACGAGACGAGACTGCACCCATTGGCTTGTTTCGTATGAAGCAAACAAGTTTACCGAACCTCTCCACAATGGAGATTTTCCCAGATACGCGAATATATTTTGCAAACTCGGTCAATGGGTCCTTGAACCTTTCCCTTCAGATTGGGAACTGCCAACGATAGTATGCCACTGACTAGTGCATTATTTGTAACATACCAATGTACAATGAATATGAGTATTTCGACAACACATCTAACATAAGCCTTACCGTCAAGAAGGTGAACTCGCGTTCTTCGCACTCTGTAGACAAGGACAAAGAGATAAAAATGGATCTAAATCCGAATATAATCAGCACACGTTTCCGTAAATGAAAGGGTGAGCATAAGCAAATGAATCGAAGGAAACCGGTCAACTCAGAGATCACCTGTCATCGAGTATTCCGTAAAAGGAGGCCTCGGCAGCGGAAAAGCTAATTTAGAAAATAGATCCTGTCAGCTTTTCCATTCTTTATTGCATTCCGCCCAAAATCAGCACACTTTTCGTAAATGAAAGAGTCAACACAAGCAAATGGATCAAAGGGAACTGGTCAACTCACCTGTCATTGAGAAATATTCCGCGAAAGGAGGTCTCAGCAGCGAAGAAACGAAATAAGCCAGGCCAGGAGACGAAATATCCGAAACCGCTCATACTAGAAGCAGTTCCAAAGGAGGAAGTTCCTCGCGCATGCACATCCGAACACGGACTGCACTGCATGCGCAACACAATGTCTGCCGTGCACGTGCACAGCACGCGGCTACCACCCGTTGGTAGATCTAATACCGAGCACCTTACGTAGAGACTTACGTAGCCTAAGTGAAATACCGAGCACCTTACGTAGAAACTTACGTAGCATAGCGGTGTCGTTTTTCTTGCCATGTGAACACAATAATAGAAAAGCTGACAGGATCGCTTTTCTAAATAACCCCCCAGAGTGTGCAACTCCACTATGGGTGCTGTCCCGACAGAATTTCAAGTTGACGTCATTTTGATGATGCAATGCGCACTGTACACGGATTATCAGACGAATCCGGAACCTGTGGTTGACCGAAGCCGATCGATCCTGTACAAATTATTGCAAAGAAGAACGTGTGATGCGTTGACACCCGTACACATGTTGTAAATCACTGCTGCAAGGAGCATTGCGTCATAAATAATGACGTCAACTTGAAATTCTGTCGGGACAACAGGGTATGTGGGAGTTGCACACTCTGGGGGGTTATGTACTCTTGGTAATATAGGACCAGTCAAGGATCACGAGAATTAGTGGAGGTCGATATAGAAGAGTGATATTATTATTTAAACAGTCGACGAGGAGACAATAGTCGTAAAATGGCAATAAATAAGATAAATTGTGCACTCATAACAACAGCAAAAATGAAGAAAGTCAAGTTCCATAACGTTTTCTTGTGACTGTCATCAGTGGAACGCCGTCACATAAAAATGTAATAACTAAAACACACACTTACATGTACATGTATATACATGTAGCTAATATGGTTTCAGGTAGAAATACAGCAGCTAACAAGTACAAAAAGCGAAGTTTGCACCTTTGCAATGTGTGAATATAGTGTATGTGAGAAAGGTAGTGGCAGATGAATGTGATACTGTGATACCATTACATTCATTCACACAGTATCACATTCATCTGCCACTACCTTTCTCACATACACTATATTCACACATTGCAAAGGTGCAAACTTCGCTTTTTGTACTTGTTAGCTGCTGTATTTCTACCTGAAACCATATAAGTGTGTGTTTTAGTTATTACATTTTTATGTGACGGCGTTCCACTGATGACAGTCACAAGAAAACGTTATGGAACTTGACTTTCTTCATTTTTGCTGTTGTTATGAGTGCACAATTTATCTTATTTATTGATATTATTATTATTATTATTATTTGTGCTCCCGCGTCAATGGGCTCGCCCAAATTCGCTTGCACCGAACCATGCGAAAAAAGGCCACCAGCAGGCAGGCAGGCAAAGAAAAATAGAAAATGGTGTCACATAAACTAATATAAACAAGAATATCATTATTGATGACATTAATATACTGAATGAATGGCAAAGGCCATGTGAATACGGATAATACGGATAATCAGAGTACCAACAACAAAGAATGTAGCTCAAACCATTGCAGTGCCAACTTCCTTCACCAGTACTCTGCCTTGTACGCATCTGTAACTGCGTTGCACAGATATGTCCATTCACGGCGATCCAGTGCTCGCTGAGCCATCAGCTGCAAGTCCCTTGGAGTCCTCAGACGGCAGCCGACTCGCTCCGCGTCTTGATTCAGCAGGACCGGTAGCGTGAATGATAAGTATCTAATATTGACTGAGTACGAGGTCAATATAGGAAATAAAAGCCGAGTAAAAGACCGAGGCGAAGCCGAGGTCTTTTACGAGGTTTTTATTTCCTATACTGACCAAGTACGAAGTCAATATTAGATTTATCACGACAAACAGTCCGTATTTCAAATTCCAAAACGATAACCTCGTGAATCCCGGTTTTATGATTGCACAACCGTTGCACCACCACCTACTCATGCAGTGACAATGCTGCACTAGCCTGTGACTAGGCACCGTTCAACTGCGCGACCCCTAAGCAGTCAAATATAAGCAGTCAATATAGCCCTAAGGAGTGAAATATGCAGGAATATTTGACTGCTTACTGTAGGTATGGCAAAAATCTATGTGAGTCAATACTAGGGCTCAAACGATTAGTCCGATTAACCGGTTGCAGACCGGTTACGAAGAATTAACGGTTAACCGATAAAGATAACGGTTACGCTGTAACTTTTCAGTCAATTTTTCAAGTATCAGGTCGTTGCAAAGTGTGCACTTTCGCTGGCTGTCGCACGCGTACTGGGCTGTCAACTCGGTCATATCTAGATAATATCTGGTCTCTTGGTGTGAGAGTATGTATGAATGAGCATGCAAGAGAATGTACATGTGTGCGTTGTACTGAATAGGGTACATTTTTTGAATGAGTATAGTCAAATATACGGTTAAAAAAGGAGTCCGCAGGATTGCCGTGGCTTATAGGTTATAACAAGAGTTATGAACTCTTGGTTATAACCGTAGCTTAGCAGTTAACCGTCAGGGGTAAAACCGTGACCGTTTGAGCCCTAGGACTCAATACTAAGGCCAGTTACTAAGGGAGTGATAAGCATGCATATGCGCTAGTAGTAGTACAGACAGTACGCGCGCGCATGCATGCCATGCCGTAAAAATATTTTTTGGGCGCGCGCGGGCCGGGCCGGGATATCCGGATGCAGCAGCATGCAGGGTGCGCTTTGCAGATACCGTAGTGAGATACAGCACTCAGCAGTACAAAGCTGATGCGGAACTGAGTGACATATTGAATGGTGGAGTCTACGATCGAACTCACCTGTCTTTGTAGATCCACAAAGACAAGACAGTATTTTGTTCGAGTCAGTATTACTATGCATATGCGCATGATGAGACGAAGTAAGATAGTTAGTTCCAACAAACGAAAAACGTCCGAGTAAAGACGGAGTTGGAGACTCAAGTCTCATAATATCAGGCCTCGTTTCAACTACAGCGCTGGATAAAACAGTGCGCGAGTGTCCTACACGACTCGATCGTAGATCTAGGAATTAGGAGTAGTTGAGTAGATCCCGCAGTGCAGTCTGTTGCCTGTGTTGGGTCAGTGTGAGTGTAACCTGCTGTGCAGTGTGTAGGCCAGTAGGGTGCGGATGGACGGTCATGATGCGGCAAGCAACGGCGAAGCGGCGCAAAGCCACATCGAGCTATTCAGCAGCGATGGGCCGGTTGCAACAGCGGGTACGTTCACAAACTTCACCCCGGCTTCTTCAGCGCCCAATGAATTATTTGTAACGACTAAATGCGAGCAGCTCAGCGATGGCAACATGGAGAGGCCCTCTGTAGCTGCACCCACATGCTCACCTAGCTCAGAAACTGAGGGAGGTACTTCTCCACTACTAGCAAAGCGACCTGCTTGTCCACGGTTTCCCTCCACAATGGATGAAGAAGCGTTGCACTGCGGAGAGAGTAAAAGAGCTGAGCGTAAGCCTTTAGCGTTACAACCGTCGAGTCTTTCTCGTTGTGATGCCAGAAAAGGTGCGTTGTCATCCCCACTCGGAGCATTTCGTGCCCTTCCCCAAGAGTTGCCAGACAAACAAGGGTTTCCTACCCACACCCGTACGTTAGCGGATAATTCAGCCAGTAAAACATCTACGCACCCGTATGGAAGAACTCTATGTGCTGGTTCATGTGGAGTGTCCAGTGACTACAGTTTTTCGGCGACTCTAGCTGTCGGTGATGGTGGCACTGGTTATAATTCCACTGCAGCTAGCCGCATGTGTGAACTGAGCAGGGTGAAAGCTAGCCCGGCGATTTCCAGTAGTGCTCCTGCGGCAGCTTCCTCCGCTTTGCAAGCCACGCCGACATCGATGGGCCATGATCTCACTGTGGCAGCAGCAGCTGAAGCAAATGATCTTTGTCTTAGTACAAGCGCTGGTAATATTCCAGGAGTAAAGTCTGAGAATGCGTTGCTAGTTGCTGCTGGTGTGGTGTCAGATGATGAAGCGGACAGTCAAGTCCGGTTTGTTGTGCCTAGACTGTCAGCAGCAGCAGCAGGCGGTGCCGCCACTGCACAAGATACGGCTGCTTCGCCAGATATACTTTCTGACGACTCTGACTCTATAGTGCTGGAGGATAGCGATGATGCACACAGCGGCGAGGCTGCCGTTGCTGGCGACGCTGATGAAGTCGAAGGTCCGGAGAAGTCGCAATGTGATGGTCCTAGTCCTGTCAGGCGTCACAGTAGAGCAACTCTTGCAGCGGGATCAGCAAGTGGAATGGCTTCATCTACATCATCCCTTGGTGCTGGTGCTGTTCATGGTGTCTTATCGCCACAGGGATCACTTAGGTCTGCGACTCGCCACTCACTGCCAAGAGGAAGCAAGCTGCAGCGGCCATTGTCACAGGCTGAGTCCCTCAATGTCTATCCGTACATGGAACCACGCCATGCAACAAACTTGTTGACAAAGATCGAGCGGCTGTGGACTGACAACAGCTTGTGCGATGTGATCCTGGTTGTTGACGGACGCCGTATACCTGCTCATCGCATCGTGCTCTGTTCGACAAGTGAATATTTCTATGCTATGTTTGCTGGTGCTATATCTGGAAAGGAAACCAGAATGCCGGAGGTGGTTATACACGATGTGGATGGAGCAGCAATGGCACAGCTCGTGGCCTACTCCTACACATGCAAATTGGATATCCACAGTCAGAATGTTCAGAGCTTGCTGAAGGCAGCATCCATGCTACAAATGCATGACGTGATGATGGCCTGCCAAAACTACATGTGCGAGCAACTTCATTCGTCCAACTGCCTCGGTATCCGGGCATTCAGCCAGCAGTTTGGGTGCGAGGCTTTGTATGAGTCAGCTGAGACGTTCGTGGAGGAGTACTTTCTGGATGTGATAAAGCATGAAGAATTCCTGCAGATGAGCACTGATGATGTGGTAGAGCTCCTGTCTCGAGATGATGTGAATGTGGAGAATGAGTGCCAAGTGTACGAAGCGGCTTTGCGCTGGATTCAGCATCAGCAAAGTGGCACAGATCGGCGGCAACACACTGCAAGGCTCCTAGGCTGTGTACGCTTGCCATTCCTACCACCGGAGTATATTGCTGATCATGTTGAAACCGAGGAGATCATCCAATCATCTCCAGAGTGTCAGCCACTTTTGCTGGAGGCTTTGAAGTACCATCTACTACCAGAACGCTGCATTCTAAGTAACAATCCACGCACTCATCCAAGACGTTCAACAGTCGGCTCGCTGTTTGCGGTAGGAGGTATGGATCTTTCTCGGGGTGCCATGACCATTGAGGAATATAATTATCGTCTCAATCAGTGGAGAACAGTTGGTGAAATGCGATCAAGACGCTTGCAGTGTGGCGTGGCAGTCATTGACCGCTTCATCTACACAGTCGGTGGCAGGGATGGCTTGAAAACGCTCAATTCTGTGGAGAAGTTTGACACACGGCATCACAGCTGGAGTACTGTTGCGTCAATGTGCACCCACCGGCATGGTGTTGGAGTTGCTGTGTTGTCGGGTCCAATGTATGCTGTTGGTGGACATGATGGGTGGTCTTACCTCAACACAGTCGAGAGGTGAGTTAGCGTGCAGCAAGTATAACTATGCTGCATTCTAACTAACATTCTAACTACATAGCCATTATGTTACTACTGTGTTGTACTACAGTCGGGCCCAAAGAAATCCGACCCGCGAGTCCAAATTAGCGCCACGTTTTCATTTCAATTACATCATGCATGTTCCCAAAATCTGATCCGAGGCTGAGCCTTGGCGCTGCTTTCGGTGCGTGGATTGGTTTTTTTGGCCGCAACTGTAGTTTAACCCTTTGGAGCCCGTACAGTCAAAAATCGACGGTATACCGTCGATGGACTAAAATGTTCACAACTCACTTGAAACTTGACGGATTTCCGCGATCTAAATATCTGGGAAAAAGCCGAAGAGCTCAGCTTTCTAATGCTTTTATAGCGCACACGTATGACGCACCCTTCGGTTATCACAAACCAGTACGTCTCGTTTCTAAGTTTTTTTGTTGACTTGTGAGGCTAACGGCAATACATGTGTACATGCAGACCCTCCCCGATTGCGCCTCGGGGTGTCACAGTACATGGTGTCAGGTGGTAACATTGTTGTACGAGTGTCTCGTATCTGTACTTTCTCCACCTGCTCCCAGCCCCGTGCCATCTCCACACTTATACAATGGACGACGATAGCTATGAGTGCTCGTACGTTTAGAAGAGTTTATTGACACGACGACGAAACACAACTGGACATGACGAACTCAAGACGAAGACTGCTTTTCACACCACAGCAACACACGCATTCACCAACACCAATTACACACGACGTACACAAAATAACGTACCACAACAACACCACCACCAACACAGACTTCGGGATATTCCACCCATTGGCCTTATTCAGAGTTGGGCTTTTTTAAGTTTTCACATACTCAGTATGCATGCTGAAGTCATTCCACCAACTCAGCGAGCATTATGGTCAGGGCCGTAGGACCGGGATTTCGGGTGGTCCGGCCAAATGGGGTACTTTGGAAATGAACATTATTTCTAATGAAAAAAGCCCGTTGTGCACTAATTGGACGGGTCCACTTTTTCGAAATAAGGCCGGGCCAGCCATGGCCGGACCAGGTCACGGCTACGGCCCTGATGGGACAGTGCATTCTACATGTATGTACATGTAGTACACTCCTACACTTCCTACTGCTGCACCATCGCCTGATTTTGCTAGCTGACCTTGTCACTGTGCCGTCAAACTTGCCAGAAAATGTGTAGTGGCACCCCGTGATTCGGTTAACCCTTTGTGACCCCATCGATCGATTGGCATACAGTGGCACTAAAAATATTATATCTCTGGTGTTCATTCCCCGATTTTCATAAACAAAGCGTCTACGTCTCGAGAGGAACCTTGGCTATCACGTCGAAGTTATCCGAAGTCTCTACGAGGTACGATGCCGCCGTGGTGAGACTCGAGGTCGACGAAAAACTGAAAAATTCACTCCGATCGAAAAATTCAAATTTTCACACTGCGCTTGGCAGGGGTTTTCCCCGGAGTTCTACGTCATACTCAAGCATGCTGCACACCAAAATTTTGCGCTTGAAACGAGCTTTCCGCTGTAGTTTATTTGAAGTCGATGTGATGAAGGAGAATGGAAGGGCGGCTGTTTGAACTTTGCTGGAGCTGTTCGCGCACGGCTGCTGTTTTGAGCGGCATTCTAGGCTAACCAGGGCAGAGGCCGTGCAGGTAGCGGGCTTGAGTGTGGTATTAGTCGCTTCGTCTTGGAAATACCTTTCCAGCGGTGGCAAGTTTGTAAAAATCGGTGAATGTTTGGCAGAGATACAAGCGAAAGTGCATGTTATTTGGAGGTGAGTAAATTGTCGTACTTTCAGTGGGGTCACAAAGGGTTAAACATAGAGTAAGAGGTTGTAGGCGAGAAACCAGACAAGTCCTAAGAGAGTGTGTGTGGGTGTGCGCACATGTGCATTCGTGTGTGCATGTGTTTGCGTGTACATGTGCATGCGTGTGTGTGTGTGTGTGTTGTACATGTGTGTGTACATGTGCATGCGTGTGTGTGTGTGTGTGTGTGTGTGTGTGTTGTACATGTGTGTGTGTGTGTGGATGTCATGGTTATCTGATGTATTATGCAGATATGATCCAGATCTGAACGGCTGGTCATTCTTGCAGCCCATGCAGGCGGCACGCAGTACAGCCGGTGTGGCAGTGCTCGCTGGCAAGCTGTACGCAGTGGGTGGACGGGATAGTATCTCATGTCTTGCTTCTGTGGAGTGCTACGACCCACATCTCAATCGGTGGATCGGCTGTCCAGCGATGAGTCAGAAACGTGGTGGTGTTGGTGTAGCTGTGTGCAATGGAAAGCTATTTGCCGTTGGTAAGTAGTTGATTTTTAGACTAGTTCATTTCTTTAGTGACACTACTTGACTACCGTCAAGAGGACCTAGCTGTGCAGTAATGACTGTTCCAGCTCTCTTGCATTGTGCCACTGAGCTAGATCGTCCCGCACCCAATGCTAAATGAAAGGCCAACTTGTGGCGCATGAAAGTTATCATGAACAAAAACATCTTCTCCTGTAAGCTAGTTAGGCTGTAATGATGGGCAATCTTATGCTATCCATAAACTCTAATTACCAATTGTTTTGTTGCATGCAGGTGGCCATGAGGCAGCTACTCCTTTTGACCTAGTGGAGTGCTTTGACCCAGCTGTGGGACAATGGACAAAGGTCAGTCCAATGATGTCATGCCGCGATGCAGTTGGAGTGACAAGCTTCGCAAACAAGCTCTTCGCAGTGGGTGGCTACAATGGCTACATGTATTTGAACTCAGTGGAGTGCCTGAACATTGCCAACAAGAAATGGGAAAACACATCAGTGTTGTGTACCGGAAGGGCCGGCGCAGGCGTTGTTGCAGTGAAGGATGTGCGTGACCGTAGCACTGATGAAGACTGTGAGAAGATGATCTTGCCAGTCTGATTCAAGATGATCTTGCCAGTCTGATTCAAGATGGTCTTGCCAGTCTCATTCAAGCCAGTTTTCACATGCCTCAGATTATCCATGTGATGCATGGCAACGTAGGCAAGATTATTTCCCCTCCCCTCACTTCAATAGCTTGGATTTTGCGTTTCTAGCATCTTCCATGTTCCTTGAGCAGTAGTATGCGAGTACTAAGTAAGCGCCGCCCATTCAGTGCAACGTATACACTGCACACAGCAACTGTATTGCCTAATATATCTACCTATGCCCACTGCACAGCGATTATAAAACTGATAGCAATGAATAGCTCATCTGCCATAATTATATTTCCCATCTCCTTGTAGATTTTAACCTTAATAAGTCGTTTTCATTAATTATAGTAATAATAATACTACACGAGTGCTGTGACAGCAAACGACAAACGTATAACCTTGTGGTGCTTCGTTCTGGCCTTGACAATTTCACGTGTATTTGGCACTGAGGATCATTGAGGAAACACTATTTTAATTCACAACTTGCACCATGTATCTTATGAACAGCATGCATCACTTTCCCGCCATTAGGTTTTGCGGGGCAAGTCCATTACAACCGTACGATACTGGCTCTGCATAAAAAGGACATTATCAAAACAGGTGACAGCCATCTTGGATGCATACCTCCCATTGTGCAAGGAATAGAATTTAAAAAAAATTATTCATTGCTATTTTGCAACTATTACTAGTCTTAGTAAAATTAGTTAGTTTTCTTCATACAATTATGTGGACAGTTATACCGTAGTTCCGCGCATATAAGCCCACGGGCCTATATCTGGATATAAGCCCACCTTCGTTTATAGGCCCATGGGCTAATAAACAGACCCAAACACCGTTACGGAACCGATAGTACAGCATGTCAGTGCAGACTACATTACCAGCACCGGTACCTACGGAAGGCGGACAACCGCGCACTGACTTGTACTTTTTCACGTGCCAGCTGCCTTCAAAATTCGAATATAGGCCCAGGGCTAAAAACGAACCATTTAATATGACAGATTTGTTTTTCCCGGAAAATGCATTATTTCGTATATTAGCCCATGGGCTTATATGCGCGGAACTACGGTAAGTCAATAGCCTGAACGATGAACCTATGCCATGGAAAGGTCAGTGGTAGTGTACGCCACGAAAGCAAGACTCGCTGAAGGCATCACTGCCATCATGCATCAGTGCTCACCGGTTGGACAGTGCAGCCTTGTCTTGACTTAGCTGACTGTGTGTACGACTACCATTATTGTCTGTAGTAGATCACCGATACGACGGACACTGTGCAGCGGTAGGCTACCGGTATATACAGGAGTGGTATCCTCCCTCCCGATCGATTGTGGAAAAGGAAAAAGAATCTACGTCTACGAAAGCTTCAAAACCCAACACAAACAAAATAATTGAGGGAATAGAATTCAAAAATGGAATTCAATTAATTAATTTTTAGTACATATATGTACAATCGTCATGTACATGTTCTTCCGTAATGATAATGCCGGCAGTCGGTGCAAAATTAAATTTTGCACCGACTGATGTCATAATTTCCAAAAATTTAAAAGTGTGGTGAAACTACTTTTTCTGTGTTGTTAGTTTATTTGACTTGTTTTGATCGCCTTGGCTTTCTGCATGAAGTGTTCATATGCTGCAGGAAGCTGCTCTCCTTTGCAGCTAAGCTCTGCTCAAGTATCTTTCCTGTTAGTGTAGAGCAAGTGGATTTCTCAGGGCAGCGGACCTAAAATGCCGCCTGCACGTAGAGGTGAGCATAAGGAATGGATTTTTTAGTGAATGCTGGAGGGTACCTGTGACACTGAAGATTATAATGAATATCGCATGTTTTGGTTTAGATGTTGGCCCTGAAATTGAGGCTGCGCTCAAGGAGCGGATCATGATCTTTGATGGAGCCATGGGCACTATGATCCAGCGTCATCGGTTGGAGGAAGAGGATTTTAGAGGTACACAATCAATTACGTATCTCTTGCTCAGCATTACTGTATTTTAAACGGTCATCAGGGAGTCAAAGTATCTAGGGAGACAGCACGGGTGACTGGAACGTGAGACAATGTGGGTCTTGCTCGCAAGGTCCATGTTCCAGGCACTCCCGATTTCTGCGGGCTCACATATACGGTAAATAAAGCCTTGTATAAAAGCTGCGTCTTATTTTGGCTTATGACAGGCTTATGTGTGAACCGTAGTATCGACAACGGCCAGTTTGAAGGCAAGGCTGTGCTTTTTCAGGGGCGTAGCACCCGCTACGACTGGTACGACCATGGCCGTACCACTTTTCGAAAAGTGTGATCCGTCCGGAACGTGCAAAACCGTAATAAAAAAATCAGGATCCATCGATGCATATGCGCATCAGACTTTGACCTTTTTAGACTCGTACTCGTAGATCTGCCATGCATCTGTGCATGTCCATGCACGTCTCTTCAGACCGTGAAATAATTCTATGACTTTATAAACTGTGCCAGACGTTCCCAGAACGCAGGATTTTGTGTCTTTTTACAAAATTTTCCCGGGGGACATCCCCCGGGCCCCCCTCCAAAACGGCCTTCGGCCGCGCCGACCTTCGGTCGTACCACTTCCAAAAACCCTCCTACGCCCCTGCTTTTTCCTTCTCTTTGCAGTCGTCTTTGATGGCATTTCGAACAAATTCAACAGCTAGGAATGAAAAGACGAAAGGAAAGATGTTGAAAGATTGCGACCAAGAACAAGCAGCCATGGTGCATATAGTGCTAGTTTACCAGTGCACCCAACTGAACCTGATTCGCTTTGCTACTTACGTCACAGGTTCACGTTCACATGCAGCTTATACATGCGGCAGTTTGACTACAGATAGTGGCTGTAATGTAGCCTGTTGGACCTAGGAGTGAGCGTAGTGTCACGTTTTGAAGCCGCGGCTACTATGCAAGGGCGATTTATGTGTGATTAAAATGTTTCCGAAAGTGTGGTTTCTATTGGAGGGCGGCTTCTCATTATAGTTACTACATTGTACCATCAAGACTGATGGCAAGCCACATTAGACTCGCTTTCCTCAAGATGTGGACATACTAGCTGTTGTATTCTATCTTTTTTTCTTTCTGATTTTAGGTGAAGAGTTTGCTGATCACCCCAAGTCGTTGAAAGGCAACAATGATTTTCTTGTTCTAACTCAGCCGGAGATTATCAAGGATATCCATCGGGTTAGTGATCCTTTGAGTTCATGGCGCTGGACAGTAGTTTGCATGTAAATTGATGAGTTTCACTGAACTAACAAGTTTGTTTTAGGTTCTTAGTCAGTGTGTATATTGTATTCGCTCATCATTTCAAGAATGCTCCCATAGCCTGAGTCGAATGGTCTTGGTCCGAAGAAGCTGAGACGCTCCCTTCCTCCTTTATTCCCAATCAAACTCGCCACTTCCACCGAAACTGGGTGACTGTGCCCTAAATGTCACTAAAATAAGTATGCGTATCTCGCCATCAGCTGTTGTGTTGGTGCAAGTCAATGGCATTTAGCTTGTACCGTAAAGTACCGCGAGAGCTCCCCGTCTCGCGAGAGCGCCCACCATGATGTACTAAGGTCACACTTAGCAGGTTTTGTGTGGAGCTCGTCTCCGTTCAAAGGTAAATCGAGTACGGATTGACTGCACGGCTTGCAATGTGTGTACAAATCACGGTACAAGGTTCATGTCGTATGACCTACAGACAGGACACCACCACCATAATGCGGCCACGAAAGGACGAGATGGCGGGCGCTCTCGTGGTACTTTACGGTACAGTAAAAGCCCGTGTATGCGCCTACTCGAAATTATGCCCACCCTCCGTGTACAAGCCCAGTCAGGTGAAGTCAACACTTTTGTTCAAAATAGCACCCATGCCCATGTATGGTCAGGCAATACCAGTACATGTACAGGTACCGATACCCAATACCTACTGCTATGTTGATGGATGTGTTTCAGGATCGCTTTTCCCAACCAGAACACTGTTTCTGGTTCATTGAAGCAGGGATACTGTATTTATAGTGTGCATGCTCAACTAAAAAATGAAATACAGTGAAACCTGTCAAGGCGACCACCTGCCCTAGAAGACCGCTGAAACCAGCACCGAGGAATGCGATTTCCAGTCAAATGACCCTGGATAAGGAGACCACCTGGTAACAGAGACCAGGTTTTGAGGGTCCCTTGAGCGGTCGTCTTAGACAGGTTTTACTGTAGATACAGTTATTGAGCAAGTGGAGGGATACGCCCGGTTCCAAAATAACGCCCGTGCCCTTGTATACGCCGAGGAAATTGAGGCTTCTATTCTATACGCCAGGGGCCTATGCAGTATGCACAGGCTTTTACGGTATTCGTCTTCACTGAGCCTGCTCCTGCCCTCTCCTTTGTTCTTGCTGAATATCTGGACTGTGTCTCGTAACTCTAAAATTGATTGATGTTATTTCTTCTTCTTGTGTACTTGTTTGTGCCTGCTTCTTTCCCCAGCAATACTTGCTTGCTGGAGCAGATTTCACTGAGACGAACACATTCTCTGGTACAACGATAGCACAGGCTGACTATGCCTGTGAACATTTGGTGAGTTTAGATGTACTGATACTAGTCTGATGGCCAGAGTTTCTGTCTGTAGCTCCTTGCTGTGCTGCGCTTCATCTGGGTATGGTGTTCATGTGTGTGGCCATTTGTATGTGTCCTACCCTGAGATCGAGACAACATGGTGGTGATGTTTGAAATTTGATTTTGTGTCTGCGGCCAGTTCTTGACTCCTCTTTTACGTACGAATGCAAAAATGCCTTCTGAGTTAATGTACTCTTGCTATATCTACCATGCCTCTCAAGTATACCGTAAAGTACCGCCAGAGCGCCCCACCATCTCATCCTTTCGTGGTCGTATTGTGGAGGTGGTCTGCTGTCTGTAGGTCATACGACATGAACCTTGTACACATATTGCACGTTTTGCAGTCAATCCGTACCTTCGAGCGGACACAAGCTCCACACAAAACCCTGCCAAGCGTGACCTTAGTACACTAAGATTCTCACATCGTACAAACTTCGTTGCACTCTGCCATACGATTTTCCTTTCTCTGGCTGTAAAATCAAGGTGGGGCGCTCTCGCGAGACGGGGCGCTCTGGCGGTACTTTACGGTAATACCAATACGGTCAGTCATGGGAATGTGGCAGTAGAATTGTTGACACGCCAATTAGTTGCATTGTACTTTATGCATGCACGAGCACGGGCACGTTTTGCTGAGGACAGCGCTAGCGATGATTTGTTTGAGTTTGTTTTCCGAATGGTGGTTGTCTTCTTGTCCACAGCTCATTGAGAGCTGTGGTTTGTTTGCATTGCGTTCTGTTTCATTCTTTGCATTTCAGTCTTCATTTCAGTCTTAGTTGAGTAACCATTAGTACCTGTATGGCGTTTTCCTGTTGGTTCACTGCACCAGAGTTCAAGAAAATAAATTATACACTCTTTTAAAAGGGAAAGAGTTGCAAACATGTTATTTCTCTTGGGTTCTGATAGTTGTCAAGTGTAAGCAACCAGTAGTCTCATCTGGCACAGCATTGTATCTGTGTGCATGCGTGTGTGTGTGTGTGTGTGTGTGTGTGTGTGTGTGTGTGTGTGTGTGTGTGTGTGCGCGCGCGCGTGTGTGTGTTCTATGCTCTATGTAGGTGTACCGTATTAACAAGGTTGCAGCTGAGCTTGCTGTATCTATGTGTGAAGAGGTGTCCTTGGCAACAGGTTAGTAGTAGAAAGTGAGAGAGGCTATCTTGAGAAATCCTGGAAATGGTGTTTTCCCGGGTTAAGTCTTTCTCCAACATACTAACCTACTGTATTCATCTGGATCAAGCCCTCCCCCAAATCGGAAAAAAGTGCCACATTCCTGTTTGCATTCGCTGCTATGGGTCTAGTACTTTGATAGATGCTGTACAACATGCAGACGATAGTGCGGACCTCGGTACGTGCGAAACACATCGATCTCAGCCCACCCACATGTGCACGGTGCGCGCCACACGGGCAGATGGTTAGAGAAAGTTACAGTTTTGTTTTGTTCCATGATATACTTTCCCCTGTAGCATCACAGTTTCTGGAAATGAATACTCGCAGCGTCACTCCCTACCTTTCCCTGTGAAGTCCGCTGTTTCCGTAGGTCAAGTCTCCGCAGAGCCTACTAGCGTTAAGATGAGGCCGTGGAGTGTCATCGGCGCCCATGGAACGCAAGCAGTGCCATTTGTTTCCTGCTTTGCGAGTACGAGGTTAATTTCCCTATTTACCATGAGGATAGCCGATGTGCTGGCCCCGTTTCCAAACTCCGATAGGATTGTTGAAAGCAAAGTCAGTTCGTACACAAACCTGTATCCGGGGTTGCTACGCCACCCGACCAAAGGTCGAAAGGTGTGAGGTACATGTATTGTGAACTTGCAGCCTGTTCTGCACTGTGGTGCGCTCCACCAGTGCAAGATCTTACTATGATATGATTCCCATGCGAGAACACTTTCTTCATTGTTGTACATGCAATTCTTGTAGGTGTGAAGCGATATACAGCTGGATCTATTGGACCCACTAACCGCACTCTATCTATTTCGCCATCGGTTGAGAAGCCAGACTATCGCAACATTAGTAAGTTTGAACTGAGCAAAACGAACAGTTTAGGATTTAAAAAAGCAGAAGCAATTTAGAGATTTGGTGCTGACAACCAGTGCTAAGGGCAATGTGATAATTGTTCAAGTAATGTTGTGTGATCTTGTGTGGCCAGGTTTGGCCATTGTTACTTGCTGGTCAGACGATCACGTGCTCTTACCACATCTCTAATTGATTATGTTGCAATGTTTTTCAGAACGAGTTCAGAAACTTATGCTGCATTCTTCTAGACTGGTGTGGATGCATGTTAAAAAAAAACATATAAATTCCGTTGATTTTTAACATTTCCTGTAGTCAGCAAAGGGTAAACAAGAACTTCTAATAATCCAACAGACAGTAACAGCTGTGATTCTGATTTCCTGAAGAGAATCTTACGTAATGAATGGTAGTACAGTCAGACCTCGCTTATCCGGTCCTCTTTTATCCGGATCTAGGGGTGAAAGTTGGCATTGAGATCCCGAGTTCGAGTACTCTGATTTTCTCCGATCGAATATTCGAGTATTCGAGTATTCTTCATCTCCTAAAAATTGCACACCAAGTTGCACACCAAGGGCCTTAAAATCACATGATACAACCCTGATTGAACCGAGTAGCAGTCATTTTTCTCGGGTATATTGGTATATTGGTTGGTGGGTCATTTGGGCTCTCTCTACTCATGAACAAATGTTCACCGCACAGTCTGCACATCAATATCTGCCGACGGCTGCTCTGAAACTGCAGATTTCTGTGGTAAATGCATGTACCATGTATGAACGAGTACTCTGATTTATTCCGAGTACGATTATTTTTGAAAAAAACCGAGCGAGTATTCGCTATAATTGTTTCACCCCTATCCGGATCCCTCGCCATCCGGAAGAAAATCGTTGGTCACCGATTTAGGGGCCATCCGTAAATATCGATAGTTTTTTCAATCTGTGAATTTTACAAAGTAACCAGGACCCACCACCCACCCCCCTACTTTTTACGGAATAAAATATTGATGACACATGTACTGTACCTACATAAATGTAGGTGGAGTCCATGGAGTCCATACACACGCAGGCATGCGCTCACTGTGTCATTCATAACTAGAGTACAGCAATGTATTTTGGCAGACTTATGCCAGGAATGTTGTCCAAGAATCACTTGCTCTTCAGCTCATTCCAAATACATCATACCCTTTATGGGCAATCAATCCAGCAAGCACATGCATTGCTGAATACATAAGAAACCATACAGCGTATGACTATAACCCAGCAAACATACTGTTGTTCCATTTAGAATATTAACGCACCCATATTGATGATGCAGGTGAATAAGTATTTTGTACAATATCAACAAAAGCTCTGAAAAGCAATGCTCCGGTGCAATGCGTACTATTAAGGCTTTCAAGAAGCCCAGTGATCAGAGTTTGATTGCTCATTTTTTGGCTGCAGCTGGTCTACCCCGCTTCAATGCATGGCCTTCCTGCTTCTTGTGCAGTGTGAGCTGATGGTAGGAAGTGAAGGACATGCCACACCCACCAAACGTGCACTTGTGGCATGTCTTCTTCGCTCCAGTCGGCTGCTCGTCATCTCCAGTGCCTGTCTTCCTCTTCTGGCGTTGCTTGGTTCGTAGCTCCGATGGGTGAACAAGGTGATGATGTCTGTCTTCGTCTCGTTTTGATAGGAATACGTACTTGCATCCGAACTCACACACAGACAAGGCCTTCTCAACACCAGCGCCCAGGCTTTCCAGCGGTTTTTCTACTTTCAGAGCCAGGCAGCACTCCAAAAAGGTCAGGTAGTGACCCTCCATGTATGGACTGGGTGTTGGAGTGAATAACCTGCCACCAGCTTCGCGCAGAAGAGAAACTACTCCGGGGGCTGCAGTCTTGCTCTTACTGCAGTGTTGGCAGGAGTCACTCTCACATCGCAGGAACATGCAGAGGTACGGAGACTTGGCAGTGTGGCGACATAGAAACTGGAGGAGCTGTTGCATCTCTTGCAGCTTCACATCCCCTGCAATGGTTCGGAATGATGCCTTGGAGAAGTCCTCAAACACCTGGTGGTCTGTATACTGCTGCTCCGGGTTGATGCATGGCACACTGATACTCTTGATTGGATGCCCGTCAAAGGCCTTGCCATTCCAGTAACCATTGAGGATGCCAATGGCCTCGTCAAACATCTTCGCCTCTTTGGCATGCAGCTCTTCCTCTCCAAGCCGCTGCTCACTTGGTGGGAGCTCATTCTCCAAGCGGTTGGGGAGAGTGACGCCAGTCAGGGATTGAGACAGCAGCGACCATGCATGCTCAATGCAGTTGTAGGCAGACTGTCCTGGTGCGTGCGTTGCGACGATAAGACAATCAAGCTCCTGATCTCTCCACAGACGGCCATAGGAAAGGAAGTTCGAGATATGTGCTGGGCTTTGGTCAGGGCCGCTATCAACAATCAATGACACCACAGGCTTTTGAGCAAGCGGAACTTCTTCGAATACTGCTGTCAGGTCGGATGCATGCGATAAGCTGGTTGACGAGTGGAACCTGGCAGCTCGGTTGAAGACCACCAATGGTCCAGTTCGGGGACAGACATGATGAAGACGCTGGTGTTTGTCAAGCTTCATGGTGTTGCTGCTGTGTCGCGTTGGTGACAAACTGCGATGTCGACGGCGTTGGTCTGGCTGTTGGCGTGGAGGTGAACTCAAGCTTCGACAGCGTCGCTGGAAACTACCTGGTGTGCTGGACTTTCTGGCCAGGACCATATACCCAGACTTGTAGCGATGTCAGAGTGCCGTGCCACGTGACCTCCACGCTTGTCGCTGGATTCCCTAGCAACCAGCTGAAATGATGGCACAAAAGGTCAGTACGGCAGAATGCCAGTCGCGGCCAGAGCGTGCAGTACTTGGCACGCGGGATATTCAAATGTGACCTGAAGACGTCAGTGACAAGCTTGGTCGTGACTATTGCCACGAAAATAGAAGATGAACTTTCGTATCCGCGTTTGTGCGGGCGCGCTGCGCCTACGGAGCTGGGAGTATGGCCGCCGACAAGTTAGCGTATGTTCAGTCGCCTTTTTCATCTCTTGCGCTGCCTGATACAGGTTTGATTTTAGTTCCATCGTGTTCCCCGTCGTCCAATTTAGTTTGCTGCCAAGTTTCACCGGCGTATCACGCCGCGCACCAGACTTGTAGTATTTTTCGCGACAGGTACTCCATTGCTGGATACACCGCCATCATGAGTGTTCGTCCAACAAAGGGACCGGCGGTGAAGATGTTTTGTCGAGTCTTGGACTCAAGGAGGAGCAGCTATTGCAGGATAAGCCCCTGCCTAGCATGATCGGAAACGTTTCAAATGCATTGGTGTTAGAACTGATGAAGTTCAAAGCGGACCACCACCAGGATCATAATCTACTTGTCGAACTCTTCTTGTCTTGGAGAATGGTCAAATCACAACTCATACTTCGGCTACTCTTCAACAGTCTTCTTGAATTTCTCCAACAGTTTGCAGCAACAAAAAAAAAACAGTACAGCTACGGTATGTACATTTTGTACAGTGCGCAAGATTATTCATGAGCCGCGATCCCTGTTGTCAAGACCGATTTTGTGCCGTGGTGAGATCTGGTTTGTGTACAGTGCGGCATGGTGCTTTTCGACAATGGCGGCGCTTACCCCGCGCACTCTAAACTGGAATAAGTCCACTATATTTGCTCCGATTTGCTTCAAACTTTGCCAGTATACTCTACTTGTCTTCAGGAATCGGATGGTATTACAATATCTGCCCGATTCTCAAAACAGAAATTTACCCTGACATCGCTACCCAGAGGGTATAATCTTTGAGTTCCTATATGGGAAGTCGTGATCGTGGTACTGAGGCTGATCAGCAGTAGGAAAGAACCTGCCAATCTGATGGTAACGGGAAACTGCTAGCGTGCCCACGCTCACTTTGTTCATATCATCACATGATATAACAGCGCACTCCTTCTCGAACATGGCAGACATCTCCATCACATAGGACACCTGTGAGAAGGCAAAGTGGCTGTCAGGATGCTGTTTACGCAAGTTGTTGTTCTTTCCAGGAACGCGGGCCTTGACAAGACCATGGTACCGAGCTGCATTGATGGTGGATTGGCGCGGGGCCACTAGAAGCTGATGAATTGCCGTCCGAGATATTCCTTTCTCCCTGACCTCCGGCATACGCTTCATGACATGCTCACGGATATCAGTCAGCGATACGCCCATATCATTGCCAACAGTTGACCGTCGCCGGCTCTGTGCAGAGAAGCCATGGTTTTGAATGTACTCGGTGACAATGCCGACCAACTCTGGGTGAGTTTCGAAGATAGGCTGGCGGCCAGGCTTTTGTTGCGGCTGGTGGTGGTAGACATCTGTATCCACATCAGTCACAGTGACAACACTTTGTTCCATGCCTTCATCTGCCTCGGGGATGTCTGCTTGACCCCCTTCGCCAGCAGCAGAAGGTGCCTCCGTAAATAGAGTGAACAGGTCAGTAAATGTGTCTCCACCAGCTGAGAACGTAAAGTCCATGATATTGACGAGTACATATTTCCCCGTTGAACACTGGAACACTCTCAATAGGGGGAAGTGGTCACAGAGTTGCAGGGATACCTTGGCCAGCATACCAGGGTCTTGCGCAAGCGTCGCCTGCATTCCAATGCTGCGCAGCAATGCCACCAACGGCAATGCATTCGTGTCCTTCAGCTGCAAAGCACATGCCAGTAACTACTCTGACGTCAACGGCGAGCCAAGGGACCTGGACTCCTCCACAGCATCATGGACACGTGCTATGGCATCACTCCACGCCAGGTCTGCGTTGGAGCAGTCTGTCCGGATATCACTGCCAGTGTCAGCCCGCTGGTGCCTGGTCTTCATTTGGTCATTCCTGGTCTGCAAACGTTGGATGACGTGTCCGAGGTTGCTGCCAAGAACTGTCAGCTGTGCAGTGATGTGGCTCAACAACTGCATCTTTTCTGCGATAGTCGCTGACATCGAGGGGCTGAGCAGCTGGGATGGTGCAATCTTTATTGCAGCCACCCTACGCAACAGATCCCCAAACTTCCTGCAGTCAGTGGACACTGCGGCGATCATATTGGACAGTTGGGAGTTCTTCCACTCCAGCTCAGAGCGGAAACTCAGCCACCGCTTCGAGACTGCCTCCATTTCTCTGAGGAGAGACTTCTGGCCCAAAATATCCTCCGTAAAGAATTCATCCAGCGGTACGGAGAGGTGGACAAATAACGAGACGACACAGTTGGGCAAACTACTGGCCATGTCGGCGGTATTGGCCTGAGTTTGCCGGTCCTCGCCAGGTTCCTGCGATGCAGCGTCGTTCGGGGTGTCGGCGGAGGTGGAAGTCTGTGCGAAAATGCTACTTCCTAGCTTCTGCCCGTCCTTCGCTCTGAGTGAATTGGCCTTTTGGATGATCTCCGACCTTGCCTGCGGGTCCGCGGAAAACGTCTCCATCCACTGCTTCTGTGCTTTGGTGAAAAACGCAGATCGATTATTGGACGTTTCAACAGTCCACAAGGCCTCGATGACGGCGTAGTAGCCATCGTCGTCTTCACCAGGGCTGTCAAGCTCTTTGAAAAACTTATCTTTTTTGGCAGCTGTACCAAACAAAGTAGTCCGCCGTGCCATTTTCGTTAGGCCACGCTCCACATGGGAACTGTTCCAACCATTGGCGATGTAGCAATTCTTCGATGATATAAAAATATCTGACAAACTTCCCTCTTTCTTTTGCTTCAAGAGTTTCGATCTCCACTACATTTTTAGGAGACAACAATCTACGTGTACGTGTGGTTCGACGCACGCAGACCCCCGCACACACGGCGGTATTGGCCTGAGTTTGCCGGTCCTCGCCAGGTTCCTGCGATGCAGCGTCGTTCGGGGTGTCGGCGGAGGTGGAAGTCTGTGCGAAAATGCTACTTCCTAGCTTCTGCCCGTCCTTCGCTCTGAGTGAATTGGCCTTTTGGATGATCTCCGACCTTGCCTGCGGGTCCGCGGAAAACGTCTCCATCCACTGCTTCTGTGCTTTGGTGAAAAACGCAGATCGATTATTGGACGTTTCAACAGTCCACAAGGCCTCGATGACGGCGTAGTAGCCATCGTCGTCTTCACCAGGGCTGTCAAGCTCTTTGAAAAACTTATCTTTTTTGGCAGCTGTACCAAACAAAGTAGTCCGCCGTGCCATTTTCGTTAGGCCACGCTCCACATGGGAACTGTTCCAACCATTGGCGATGTAGCAATTCTTCGATGATATAAAAATATCTGACAAACTTCCCTCTTTCTTTTGCTTCAAGAGTTTCGATCTCCACTACATTTTTAGGAGACAACAATCTACGTGTACGTGTGGTTCGACGCACGCAGACCCCCGCACACGCAGTACTGGGCGCCAGGTCCGCGTGTCATCGATATTTTATTTACTTTGAATTTCGGCTGCACCCACCACCCAGGTACGTAAATTTCACGGATTGTAAAAACTATCGACATTTACGGACGGCCCCTAATACAGCGTAATTATGTCATGCATACATACAGTATGTGTGTTCGATTATCCAGTTCCCTCGTCTGTCCGGATGTTTTTGTGGAAAACGGATGTCTGCGGTTATTCGAGGTCTGGCTGTTCTCTTTCTCTGTCCTGTTGATAGCATTTGATGAGCTGGTAGTGGCTTACAAGGAGCAGGCCCGAGCACTGTATGATGGTGGTGTACATGTCATGCTCGTGGAGACTATTTTCGACACCTTAAATGCAAAGGTAAGGCCAGTAGTGCCAGTATGCTCTTTTTCGTTCTTTGAAGTGTCTGCCTCCTATCCAGTACTGGAATTTCCTATGGTTTTCGTGTTTCATATTGCGTTGTGTGTGTGTGAGCCTGGTCAGGGTGTGGCAAGTTTCCGTTATCTGACGCAGGTGATTATGTAAATTATTTCACGGTGGCGTACCTGCCCATTCGGCAATCCACGGGGAAGGCTACAGACTGCACTAAATACTGTGTGCATGTTGCTATCTAACCAGTTTAGGCCACTACCTCATCACAACCGGTGATGCATGGCCCGACTGATGAGGCATACATTTCCACTATCTTGCCTTCACCTGTGAGTAGCCAGGGTTCGGTAGGCAGTGCTTCTAGCATCAACGAAAGATCTGAACTTCAAGTGTGAACACTACTGTATGTGTGTGTATGTGTGTGTGTGTCTGTGTGTGTGTGTGTGTGTGTGTGTGTGTGTGGGTGTGTCTGTGTGTGTGTGTGTGTGTGTGTCTGTGTCTGTGTCTGTCACTGTGTGTGTCTGTGTGTCTGTGTGTGTGTGTGAAAAATAGGGATTCACTGGCCAGAAAATGTCACTCCAAATAGCTGTATGGTGTAGACCAGGCTGAATAGTGACGGTCAATTCTTCAGCCTTGCAAGCTGTTGAATGGTGTAATCCCAGCACAAGTTGCTATGGCTTCTGTCGTAGCATTGCTATCATCGCCTCCGGCGATGGGCGTCAAAGGTCAAAGGTGTGTGTGTGTGTGTGTGTCTCTGTGTCTGTGTGTGTCTGTCACTGTGTGTGTCTGTGTGTGTGTCTGTGTGTGTCTGTGTGTGTCTGTGTGTATCTGTGTGTATCTGTGTGTCTGTGTCTGTGTGTATATATATATATATGTGTGTGTGTGTCTGTCTGTGTGTCTGTGTCTGTGTATGTGTGTATTGATTCTGAATGCTGTAGGCTGCTCTTTTTGCCTTGGATGAGCTCTTCCTGGAACCTGGGTACGAGCGCCTTCCTATCTTTGTAAGTCACTAAGTGCTTATAGAAATGCTGTGTGGAGATACTACATGTATGTGGGTGGGTAAAGTGTGATGTATGCACTGCTACAACTGCTACATACCGTGATTCTTTAGTTAAAATAGCAGATAATGTGCCACATCGGAGATTGGATATAACAACACTTCTGTGACAGATTAATTATTAAATTTCACGGTTCGCGTGAGACTCGGCTGAAAGCCGAGTTTTCCGCATCCGCCGTGGGAACGCCACCACCCTCTAGGATCAAAGGCGCAGATGCAGCGCCTAAACGGTGGGAGGTGAGTAGATCAGACCCACCACCAAGTGGTCAAAGACCGAAATCCCATTAGCTGCATCCATGTTACCCTCGTGCCAGGCCACGAGTTCCCAATTAACTGTGGGTCGCAGCACGGCTGGAAAAATTCCTTCCGCTTCCAAGCAGGACTTGAACCTGGTACCCTCTGTTTCTCAATCATGGTCTTAGACCATCCCACTATGCCTGCCTGATGACAGATACGGCACTGTAATTATATGATCTGTCACTAGACCCAATCTTTGGACTGGACTTGCTGAGAGACTCGGGCAACAGAAATGAGTAGTAAAACTTGATCTGCTGTCACATTCGATGTCCACTGCACAGCGACGTGTCATACGGCTACCATGAGCCTGTCTGTTCTCTCAATCCATGGCAAAGTGAGCAAAGTGAGCAGTTTGTCACTGCTGGTAACGTTATTGGAGATTGCTATCACCAACACTACAATGTACAGTAAAACCTGGTGTTCTAATGACTTCAATACCAACACTTACACTTCTAGTGACTACAATACCAACACTTACACTTCTAGTGACTACAATACCAACACTTACACTTGTAATGACTTCAATACCAACACTTACACTTCTAGTGACTACAATACCAACACTTACACTTCTAGTGACTTCAATACCAACACTTACACTTCTAGTGACTTCAATACCAACACTTACACTTGTAATGACTTCAATACCAACACTTACACTTCTAGTGACTTCAATACCAAACTTACACTTCTAGTGACTTCAATACCAACACTTACACTTCTAGTGACTTCAATACCAACACTTACACTTGTAATGACTTCAATACCAACACTTACACTTGTAATGACTTCAATACCAACACTTACACTTCTAGTGACTTCAATACCAACACTTACACTTCTAGTGACTTCAATACCAACACTTACACTTGTAATGACTTCAATACCAACACTTACACTTCTAGTGACTTCAATACCAACACTTACACTTCTAGTGACTTCAATACCAACACTTACACTTCTAATGACTTCAATACCAACACTTACACTTCTAGTGACTTCAATACCAACACTTACACTTCTAGTGACTTCAATACCAACACTTACACTTCTAGTGACTTCAATACCAACACTTACACTTCTAGTGACTTCAATACCAACACTTACACTTCTAGTGACTTCAATACCAACACTTACACTTGTAATGACTTCAATACCAACACTTACACTTCTAGTGACTTCAATACCAAACTTACACTTCTAGTGACTTCAATACCAAACTTACACTTCTAGTGACTACAATACCAACACTTACACTTCTAGTGACTACAATACCAACACTTACACTTGTAATGACTTCAATACCAACACTTACACTTCTAGTGACTTCAATACCAACACTTACACTTCTAGTGACTTCAATACCAACACTTACACTTGTAATGACTTCAATACCAACACTTACACTTCTAGTGACTTCAATACCAACACTTACACTTCTAGTGACTTCAATACCAACACTTACACTTCTAATGACTTCAATACCAACACTTACACTTCTAGTGACTTCAATACCAACACTTACACTTCTAGTGACTTCAATACCAACACTTACACTTCTAGTGACTTCAATACCAACACTTACACTTCTAGTGACTTCAATACCAACACTTACACTTCTAGTGACTTCAATACCAACACTTACACTTGTAATGACTTCAATACCAACACTTACACTTCTAGTGACTTCAATACCAAACTTACACTTCTAGTGACTTCAATACCAAACTTACACTTCTAGTGACTTCAATACCAAACTTACACTTCTAGTGACTTCAATACCAAACTTACACTTGTAATGACTTCAATACCAAACTTACACTTGTAACTACCTGATCAACGTGACCAGCGGTCGCCGTTTTTCTTATCCCAAGTTTGATTTTTGACCCACCACTAGCTATCGCGATGAAGAAATTAAACAGTCCTTTAAAGTTCCTTTTTTGAAGATTGCAAGCCAGCGTCCTCCTTAGCACCAGCACTGCACGCAATGAGGCTGATGCTACTGCCATTGGCAGGAAAGCTCACATGCTGATGAAGTACTTACATCAGCTTTCACCAGCAGACGTCAGAGAGGTACTAGGTGCCTGGCAATAAAGCACAGTCATGCCATCGCAGCAGTGGATGGAGAGCATGCGGGTGTCTACACACTCTAAGGGGTGTAATGTGTACTCTTGCTATCACTTGCTATCACTTGCTATCACTTGCTGTATTGCTGTATGGTAACAGTGGCACTGTACATATATTTGTCTCTCAGATTTCGGGCACTATTGTCGATAAAAGTGGACGCACATTATCAGGACAGACGGGCGAAGCATTTCTGATCAGTGTTGAGCACAGCAGACCTATGTGGTGAGTTGCTTACTGTTTCTGGCATGTTCTCTCTCTCTCTCTCTCTCTCTCTCTCTCTCTCTCTCTCTCTCTCTCTCTCTCTCTCTCTCTCTCTCTCTCTCTCTCTCCGATCAACCTGGGATTTTCACCATTGGAACCAGTGCATTTTTCGCTACAAGTTGTGGAGTTTTCATTTTAGGGTGAAATTCCCCTTTCAGCTTTGAAACTGGGGAGGGCCACAACTAAGATGCGAGCACTCAAAGCTGGCTCCAGTGGAATAATTGTTTTGAAGGCTTGTTCTGTGTTTATTCCTGCAAGTGGGCAAGTGCGTGTGTGCATGCGTGCATGTGTGTGTGTGTGGGGGGGGGGGGTACATCTGTGGGTGCACATCCAGTGCATTTGCAGATTTGTGTGCTTCTCTTGCGACGGGCGTATACATGGGGGGGGTGTTTGTGCCTTTGTGTGTGTGTGTGTGTGTGCCTTTGTGTGTGTGTGTGTGTGTGTGTGTGTGTATGATGTGTTCGCATGCTGTTCACGGTTCCGCTTGCGTCATTGTCTCTAACATCACCAGGTGGTGTGCTCCATTTTCTCTCTCTCCTTCTGGGGACGGTGTGACCTTTAATGGCTGGTGGCTCTACAGTACAGGAGAGGCGTGTGTTTACCCACATCTGTGAAATGTGTCCCCAAATGGCCACATGCAAAGATCCGGGCAATGTGTCAGGATGTGTGTGTGTGTGTGTGTGTGTACGTGCGCGCGTGCGTGTGTCTGTGTGCATGTGTGTGTGTGGGGGGGGGGGTGCGTTTGTGCACACACTCTTGCTGGTTCCACATGCACCTGTTACTTTGTTCCGAAAATGCCATTTGAGGTTGTATTGGTTGTTTCTCTTTCTTCTCTCTCTGTGCTGCACTCTAGTGTGGGTCTAAACTGTGCTCTGGGTGCAGTTGAAATGAGGCCATTCATTGAGAACATTGGTCTGCACACGGAGAACTACATTATCTGCTATCCCAATGCTGGTCAGTTAGGTCGACGTGGAACTATGTTGATGCTGTTAGGGATGTTGCATGCTTTTTAGTAGTCTAGGCATCCTTTTCTTGCTTCTCAAGACTGCTTCCACTTGTAATAGAATCTCTGTGTTTGGGTTTGTGTGTGTGCGTGCGCGCGTGTGTGTGTGTGTGCGCGCGCGTGTGTGTGTGTGCGCGCGCGCGCGTGTGTGTGTGTGTGCGCGCGCGCGCGTGTGTGTGTGTCTAAATATAACAATTCTTAATTTGGAAATCTCTCTCGTTCCCATGTTTCTTACATAAGGAAACTAACTGCGCTGTCATGTCCCCAATCACAATTCAATGCTTCTGGCATGCAGGAGAATTGTAGCTAGGAAAATCGGCAGGAGGAGTAGAGATGGGGTGCTAAGGCCGAGCAAGATGAGTGTACCAGCCTATTCCCGGATACAAACTCTTCTATTTTTGAGTACCCTTCATATGCTATCCAAGTCAGGTTACGTTGATCACTTTGTCTAAAAACTAAGCACAGATTATGTTGGCCTAAAGCTTGCCTTGACATTAACAACTTTCTTACAAGTGAACATCCACACCTTAATTGCACGCTCTACTGTTGGAGGAACGTAACTTTTGAATAACAGGGAGAGTGCTAGGGGAGGCAAAACCCTAGCAGTGGTGTGTAACAAAATCACACGATCGTGGAATTGCTGAACAAGCAAGGACACGTTAGAGAAGTCCAGTTTTTAGGTGAAAATCTGGATGTGATTATTTCACTCCTGATCAATATGAGCTTGAAATGTGCCTCACTGGTGACAGTCAAAAGAGATACGGGCGATTTCTTCTTGTCCATATTGGAAACATCCTGATCATAACACTCTTTATTATCTTTGCTCTCACTAACTTGGTCACCATCCTCCATGACTGCTGCCACTGATGAGTGCTACATGAAAATGTTTTAGAATACTAGTATAAGAAATTATGTAACTACCTTTGTATTGTGATTGATGATATGACTGTACAGCTCAATCTATTCATGGCAACATTGGCAAGCTTTATGGTTATTGTGTGCAGATCACCTTTTTATACGAGGTTCACTGGGTCATCTTGGGATATGAATGCCAGAGGCATGGGCTGATGTCAATAGAAATTGTATTTGACTGTAGACAGAGCTAGAGGTGGTGTGTGGGTTGTTGTATTGACCGTGGTGGCGTATGGCTTGTTGTGTTGTTCTGTAATGCTAAGGTCTACCTAATGCGATGGGTGACTATGATGAAACTCCGGCCATAACATCCGGACATATCAGGGTGAGTGCTGCTGTGGTGACTTACTCCTGCCACCGTCATACCGTTGAGTGCCGCATGCTCATTCCATGTGATGACCAGCGGAAAAAAATCTTTACTTTACTGAAAATTGTACATTTTAGTTCCAGCCTAGCACAACTGCCACTCGTGCACAGCTTTGCAGAGATCCACGAACAGACCATCTGATGATGAGCTGCACTGGGAGCACACAAGAGAGTGACATCAGCAAGGATCCGTCTCCTTTCTTCTTTGAAATAGTACCCTATCCCCTCGATTCTGCTAAAACGTGATTTTCTCCATTTTTGGGCAAAACATTTAGTTGGTTTTAGGGGTCATCGCAAACGGTTTTTGTCGTCCCTGAAACGAACATCATTCGTTTGGGGTGGGGGGAGTGGGTGCGAGCCAAAATCGCAAGTCGACCGACACTGTACATTATGTACATAACGATTTTGTCGTCCTGCATAGCAAGCTGGGTTCGTTTCAGAGGGAGGGGAGGGGGTCCGAGTACGAAATGAACGATGTTCGTTTCAGGGACGACAAGCAACTTTTGCGACGACCCCTGAGCTGATCCGGGCTCACAGCATGGTAATGGAAATCCTGAGCTGTCGTCTCAAACTACCCCTGTTATGGAAAAGGTTCTGATGTATACCCTCGGCACGGATATTCCTTTGCCAAAGACTGCAGATGATTGATTGGGAACTTGTTATAATGATTATTTATGAATAGATTTTTGGTTGGAGGAAAGCAAATCAGCACACGAAGCACAGAAGCCGTATAATTTTTCTTTTCTTTTCGACTAGGCCTTCAAGTCTGATACTGGTAATATTCATTGTCTCACTGTGTAGTTGGCGCCACTAGCGCTATCTTTTAAAGTGCTATTTGGTCTATGCTCTGACCGCCAAATATGCTGTTGGCGCCACTAGCGCTGTTTTTCAGGTGCTATTTTTGTCAATGCTCTGCCCGCCAAAAGTGCCAGTTATAAGGACTTGCTTACTACCTTGTTAATCACCATTGTATTCGACCTGAAGAGTAATGGAATGAAAGGTCTTGTCGAAAAAAATTATATGGCTTCTGTGCTTCGTGTGCTGATTATTTATGATTATCTGAAAGATGATCCAATAGGAGAGTCTCATAGGGGACGACGGCAAGGGAGCAAGAGTCCGTTCTCGTAAGAGAATCCAACCTCCCTACGCAGTGTCTCCAACACAGTGATTTGTGTAAACACGAGATGAAAAAGTGGTTTCTCTACTAATCTTAGCCATCATGGTGCCAAGAAAATTGTGAGATAGCGGTGTAGTCACTTCCTTGGCTTGTGAGGTTGGCTCTCTGGAAAAGGCGGTCACCGTTAGAGTGGATGATTGTCAGATAACATGAAACGGCCATCACTTGCTATTCATCTTGAATGCGCCCTGCCGAGGTGAAAGCAGAACCATCAAGCCCACCCTGATGGTTCTTGGAGGCAGCGTCCTCGGTTAAAGTAATGTACTGCTTGTCACACTTATCGGTGTTGAACATCAGGTCTGCCCCTCAACGTGGCCCTGGAATCTGTCACAACGGCACGAGTGGGCGTTCTCTCACAGACTCCCACAGACCGAAGTCAATTTTTGAATTTTTTTAGGTTTAACACATGCTACGAGGTCGTACCTTTGATACAACATCCAGTGCTGGGACCTCCACAGCCAGCCATTTCCACAGCGCTGCACACCAAATCCAGGATACCTTCAAAAATCGGCAAAGACTACCACTCACGTTCCACTACTGCCTAGTACTGAATCCTACCTGACTTCTTGATCACGCATGCTTGGAAGCATGCACATCCACTGATGTCATCGAAACTAGTCCAGGGCACCAGCTTTGCACTTCCGGTTGGATTACACAGAGGGCACCACAATAGCTCTTGAAAGCAGTCACCCATGTGCTCGTCGATCTCTTCTTATCTTGCGGAGCTACACCCCTCCCCCATGATGTTCTCCTCTCCGACTCAGAATAAGCTTCAAACAATTCTCTAATCAGCACGATAAAAGAAAGAGCGAGCGTGTGCACATGCCAAATTAGGCTGAAAAGGACCGGCATGGAGACATGGGGACAGAAGCAGACCTATGAGTGCTCTGATTTCTTCCATTAACGGCTTGCTCACTTAGTCCAAGCAGTTAGTTTCCCAAGTCTGAAGATGGGCCGAGGCTTCCTGCTGTTTCATCTCTGCAATAAGGAATTCGGGTGGACACACCCATTCCCATAGCGCTGCACATCCAAACCAGTTGTGAAATAACGGAACTGATTAGAATGTGCAGCGCTATGGGAATGGGTGTGTCCACCCGAATTCCTTATTGTTAGTTTCCCTTCTCGGTAACAAAGGTGCATTGAATATCTAAAATTGCAAGGGCATGGATATGTCGAATATGAAAAAGAATCTCTTATTTGGAGAAGACGATACGGGTGGAATCCTGATAATTCGAACCTCAAAATGCCAGGAAAAAACTTCTAATTATCCGGACATTCTAATTATCCAAACACGAACCCACAACACAATATGTATGTCAAAATGCTCTCGTGGTCACGCAGAGTTGCGCTATGGACCTTAGACACAGATTTCGCGGATACTGAACTGACCGGCACAGCCTGCTCATGCAAATGAACTGACCAGTACAATGTACAGTGAACTTCGAATTACACTTTGCTAACTTCGAATTATCAGCACAAATCCCACACATTTTCTATGTAAGTGGAATCTGTGGGACTTCGAATTAACCGGACACACCCAGTTCGAGGTTCGAATTATCAGAAATTTTTATGTACACAGGAGAACAATGTACAAAAGGTTACTTTGCTCTGAGTTTCCTTTGCCTAATGCAATCATCAGCCAACATGGTAGATGGTGTTGATCATACCTACAACCAACAACGTGGGGTGCTAACAATGGGGATGTTGGTGTACTGGGTGTGCTGCTATGCTTTGGGTGTTCTTGTTGTATATTGTGCTGAGTATAGGATGGGGTGGGAAATTCTGTGTGTGAGAGATAGAGATAGTGTGTGTGTGTGTGTGTGCGTGCGTGTGTGTGTGTGTGTGTGTGTGTGTGTGTGTGTGTGTGTGCGCGTGTGTGCGTGTGTGTGTGTGTGTGTGTGTGTGTGTGTGTGTGTGTGTGTGTGTGTGTGTGTGTGTGTGTGTGTGTGTGTGTGTGTGTGTGTGTGTGTGTGTGTGTGTCCCATATGGTGCAGTGGTATGTGCAGTCGATTTCCAATCGAGAGGTTGCGGGTTCAATTCCCGACGATTATGGTCGCACACGTCTTTCTTCTCTTTCTCATTCTCCAAGCTCTTCTTTCATTCTCCTGGGTGGTTACCAACAGCCAGTGTATGCGGGAGTATGTGGTGTAGTGTGTGTGTGTGTGTGTCGAAAAAGAAGAAAAAAGAATGAAAAGAAAAAGAAAAATAGGGATTCACTGGCCAGAAAAAGCCACTTCAATCAGCTGTGTGGTGGATACCAGGCTAAAATTAGTGGCGGTCAATTCATCAGCCTTGCAAGCTGTTGAATGGTGTAATCCCAGCACTAGTTGCTATGTCTAACATAGCTGTTCGCTATCATTGCTTCTGCGATGGGCAGGTCCGAGTTGTGTGTGTGAGAGAGAGAGATAGTGTGTGTGTGTGTGTGTGTGTGTGTGTGCGTGCGTGCGTGCGTGCGTGCGTGCGTGTGTGTGTGTGTGTGTGTGTGTGTGTGTGTGTGTGTGAGATAGAGATAGTGTGTGTGTGTGTGTGTGAGAGAGAGAGAGAGAGAGAGAGAGAGAGAGAGAGAGAGCTTTAGGACTCTCCTGTTGGGGCTGCAAGCTAGGATAGTCTTAAAGCTTACGCAGTCACGCGTGCACGCGCGCGCACACACACACACAGATTTTCCCACCCTAGTCCTTATTCAGCGCAATAAATAATGACAAGCCGACACCTTTTAAGTATTATAGCACCACACCCAGCTCATCAATGTCCCCATTGTTAGGACCCTAGTGTTCATGGTACGTATACAGCAGCATAATCAGCTCCATCTACTTTGTTGCCTTATGATTCTGGTTCTGAAACTTTGAGAGTTGCAGCAAACTAGCCTTGGTCCACTGGTGTATGATGTATGGTGGTCCTGTAGAACAAGAAGTGCAGTTTTCTTTGTTTTGTCAGAATATTGCTGTATTATTAGCATCATTGCAATTGCTCGTATGTTGCGTTTCTTCTTGGTAGGACTTTGCTGAAGCCGGCTTGGTCAACCTTGTTGGAGGCTGTTGTGGCACAACCCCACCACATATCAAGGCCATAGCCGAGGCAGTCAAGCCTTTCAAGCCCCGCGTCCCTCAACAACATCTAGCAGATGACGAGTGCCTCCTCTCCGGTAAGCCGTGCAGAATCCCCGTCAGTAACTTCTGGTTTGGTGATTGTTGATAAGGCAGACAGACAGACAGAGAATGAGAGATAGAGAGAGACAGATAGACGGACAAACAAAGGGGAATACTAATACGCCTTGAGAAATATGTATCACCTAATTTACCATGTTTTCCAGTGGTACTTGCACAGAAGTACAGTCCTGGCCAGAGAAATCCTACCTCATGGATACACACTCACACCTCATTTATCCGGGCGGTCCGGGACCAAGCACTGTCCAGAACTTTGAAATGTCCGTAACTCTGAATCGCATACGTTTTGACGGGGAAATGCCATAGATATGGCATAATATTATTATTATTATCAGCCTTTTCACGTTGACATCGCCAAGCAAGCTTGGCTAGTCTTCGCTTAGGCCAAGTGGAATGAAGATTGAGGAACAAGCGGGGTCAATGAGGTTTGAGATAATGGCATATGACGTCACTATTTCAACAAAAAGTGACAAGAGTAGTAATATTTCCACTGTAACTTGCCCTGTAGGGTGCCCGGTAGACTGAAGTGCCCGTAACTTCGGTGTCTGGATAACCGAGGTATGAGCGTACAGTCTGTATCGGCTATAGAGTGACCGGATATAAGAATTTATCGCCTTCTTAGTATTTGACCCCACTAATTTCCATGATACCTAAGCGGTCAAATATATCGCGGCAAATATATCGCGTATTTGACTGCTTAGTCAAATACACAATATATTTGACTACTTATATTTGACTCCTTAGAATTTCTTGGACTTAGAAATTTTCTCTCCAACTGAGAAAAAGAAATTTTTGAAGAAAGCAGTAATACACAAGATGGGATTTGAACCCACAACCATGTGAATCTCAGTCACTCTTCCTTACCACCCAGCCACTGTGCTACCGATGCTGAACCTAGTTTAAACAATGACCTTGATCCTGCAATGCCGTACAATGCGGTATAGGCTATAGTATAATACTAAAATTACAAGGATATGTCGTATATGAAGAGAAACTATTGCGTAGAGAACACGATAAATAGATTATAGACCTCATAGTTGGTCTATACAGGATATATAGACTTCGTAAAAGACCTCGGGGGACCTCGGTCTTTTACTCGATCTATTTATCCTGTATAGACCTCCTAACCGGTCTATAATCTATACATATCGGCTACAGTGATATTGGTACGAAATATCAAAAAGCAAAACGTATTTTGTCCAGTACAAATATCACTATAACCAATATTATCGGATGTAATGATATATCGGATATTATGATGGCAACAAAGAATCAAAACATGCATAACACACTATATTATTATCGGCTATAGTGATAACTTTAAAATACATGCAGCAATAATATCAAAGGCCCTATTTTTTTCCTTTATTCACGTTGCTTATTTTTATGGTGATACGTGACAGAACAACAAGGACAATCAAGGCTTGTTTGCTGCTACTTCAAGTTTCATGCTCACGCAATCATCAGGAAACTTGAAGTAGCAGCAAACAAGCCTTGATTGTCCTTGTTGTTCTGTTGTGTATTACGCTCTGCCTTTGTGGTGTTGAGCACTGTCAGCACTCTGGGTACATCCTCCGGTATAGTGATACAAGCCTGTACATGCATATAACAGAATTTTTTTATGGAAATGCGGGCACTGTCAACTATGCAGCACGCTCATTTGTCAAAACGCCATGCTGGAAGTATTTCCTTACCTTTCATGTGTCGATCGGAAAAAAGAAGAAAAAAAAATCGATCGTATCGCATATAGTGATGCATCGGTTGTAGTGATAAAATCACGGAAATCAAAAGGGTACGCTATAGCCGATACAGACTGTATTTGTAATAGCGCTCCTAGCACCACACACATGCACACCTCTCTGTGCTCTTGAGCACGGCACTATTTTATTCATGAGGTCGGATTTCTCTTGCCAGAACTGTAGCTACGTGGTTGCTGTCTTGCTGATGTGTCATCCGTTTACTAGATTTTTTGTTTTGTCGTCTCTATGCTTCACCATTCTAACCAGGCCTGGAGCCGATGCGAATGGGTGCTGATACTTTGTTTGTCAATATTGGAGAGCGATGTAATGTGGCTGGATCTCGTCGTTTTGAACGCCTCATCACATCCGGAAAGTATGAGGTATGTGAAGTATTGGCTTACTTTCTTGTTTTTTATTGGTACCATTTCATTGTCTTGGGGTGTACAAGGGTGTGCTTGTGTCCATATATCCGTCTGTCTTGCAGCACAAGTTGCTATGCCTTCTGCTGTAACATCGCTGTCGTTGCCTCCGACGATGGGCGTCAACAGTCTATTTATCAGGCAGAGACTGAGCGAGTTGACCGTGGATATATTCAATCATTTTTCATTCTTACACTCGTAATTTTTTCGATTTCACAGCGAGTTTTTCCAGGCAGTCCACACAGTAAAGCCATAAACTCGGAGCATGGCCGGCAGGATTTCTTCTTTTGTTTTGCAGGATTTTTGTAATGGACTAAATGTATGAGCAAGTAAATGGTTGATGTTGCTATGTGACTCTACTGTTTGGACGTGCAGGAAGCACTGGCAATTGCCAAACTTCAGGTGGAGAACGGTGCCCAGGTGCTTGACATCAACATGGACGAGGGAATGTTGGACGGTGTGGCGGCTATGACCAAGTTCGTCAATCTCATCTCATCTGAGCCTGAAGTGTCACGAGTAAGTACCTAATATAGTACAGTACCAGTAGTATACCCCCCCCCCCCCCCACACACACACATACATGTATACCCCCCCCCCCCCCACACACACACACATACACATAGATGTATACACACCACGCATATACACACACAAGTACGTGTAGGTTTGTTGTATGCCCAGTCGGCGGCCACATCTTGGCAGGAGGAATCCAATGAGTGAAACTAGGTATAGTAATGACTGTACTGACTGTACACTTCATAGGAGTGCAGAAGTGCAGGAGTGCAGGAGTGCAGGAGGTGAAAGATTGTGCCAGTGCCCAGTAGTGCTGAATTGAGTTGGCATGTCACGCAGTGGGAAGCGACAATTTCCGTGACGCGAAAAAAGTCGGTCCCTCATGATACTGCCATGGCAATTCAGTCATGCGAGAGCAAATTTCGACGGCAGTGTATGTCGTGAGCTATACAAGAAGTATCCTGTTATTCCTGTGGCTTCACCCACCTTCCTTATTTGCCTTGGTGAAACAATGGATTCTTGTAGAGATTGCGGGAGGGTTGGACACTGTATATATATGGTGGTTTATATGTGCACGAGTAGACAGCATGTATTTGTAGTTTGTTGCGCTTGCCATTTGTCCCCATTTGCCGTTTCTCGTGAGCACAGAAGCCTTCCAGTAACAAAGCTAGCCTCCGGATTTATAGTTGGAAATCCCACTTGGTAGACTCACCATTGATCCATGTATTGGTCTCGGTGTCACCACATGGCTTCTTTCACTTGGCGCATAGACGGTTCTTGGTTTGTGTTCACATGCTTGTATTTTTTAAACATTGTGCCGCTTTGTTGCTGTAACGTTGGTTTGTACAGGTGCCACTTTGCATTGACTCTTCGAACTTTGCTGTTGTCGAGGCCGGCTTGAAGTGTACCCAGGGTAAATGCATCGTGAACAGTATCAGCTTGAAAGAAGGAGAGGAAGACTTCCTGAAGAAAGCCACTATTGTTAAGCGTTACGGTGCTGCTGTGGTGGTCATGGCGTTTGACGAAGTTGGCCAGGTTAGTAAAACTCTTATATCAATGATTTTAAAAGTATACATTCAATAATGTGTTACGAGAACAAAATAAAGTGCTAGCACGACATTCCACTGATGAATGTGACATGGAAATCGATATTGGAAAACTTTCATGACTTCGTTGTTGTGTGGCGATGACAGCAGAATTTGTTCTCTTTATTGCTTTTATAAAATTGTTGTCTCCGCGTCGATTATTTGGGTATGCAAGTTGGTGGGTTTTCCTGCGGTTTTGCGCCTTTTGCGTGCTGGTGCCAGGGAATGTGGCATACGCTCTCACTAATGCAGTGAACGTGCAGTTTTCATTCAAGCGGCGTGGCTATGCGGATACGCACTGTGATACCCACTCATACACATGGCTCAATCTATTCTACTCACTTGTGTGGTGTGTGGTGGTGTGGTGTGGTGTGGTGTGGTGGTGTGTGGTGTGTGGTGTGGTGTGGTGTGTGGTGGTGTGTGGTGTGGTGTGTGGTGTGGTGTGGTGTGTGGTGTGGTGTGTGGTGGTGTGGTGTGTGGTGTGTGGTGTGTGGTGTGTGGTGTGGTGTGGTGTGGTGTGGTGTGGTGTGTGGTGTGGTGTGGTGTGGTGTGTGGTGGTGAGATGTGTGGGGGTGAGATTGCACGACAGACATTTGTCTTAGGTGCTTGTACTGAAAGCAGAACATTTCCAGTAGACCAACTACGAATGCACGCTAAGCCCGGATTGTTTCACTCGGGATGACAATCTTCCTGTAAACATTCCTCATTCGGCCAATGATTGAATAAGTGTGTATTCAATTTGTAATGTGTTGCTCTTGTTCTTGTTGTTGTTGGTGGTATTGCTCACGTTACTCGTGTTGTGTTGTGTCCTTGTGTTTTGCTACTGTTTGTGTGATACCAGGCAACAAGTACTGAGGACAAGGTCAGGATATGTACTAGATCGTATCGACTGCTTGTTGATAAGCTGAATTTCAATCCGAATGATATCATCTTTGATCCGAACATCTTAACGATTGCCACAGGAATCGAAGAACACAACAAGTATGGCATTAACTTCATCGAGGCAGTGCGCGAAATCAAGGTATGATGATCGTTGTGCCGTAGTCTGAGCACTACTCAATGTATGTGCTCTCACACGTGTGTTTGTGTGTGTGTGTGTGTGCGTGCATGCGTGGTGGGTGGGTGGGTACATGCGCACGTGTGTGTGTGTGGCTGGTGTGGGGGGGGGGGGTGCATGCGTGGTTTGTGGGTATATGTGTGTGTAGCTGGTGTGTGTGTGGGGGGGGGGGGGGGGGGTACACTCACCATACAAGAGATATCAAAGAATGATTGGATCCAAAAGTAGTAATATCACCATAAATTTCTACTTCCCAGTCATGTTGGACGTCGTCCCTTTCATGCCCTATTGTCAACACTGCTGGCCGTGTGATGCCTCTTTTAGGAGTTGACCGGGATACATTTTGCATTGTCCGTATTTACTATTTATGCATTCTACAGGCAACTCTTCCTCACTGCCGGTGTAGTGGTGGTCTCTCAAATTTCTCCTTCTCGTTCCGTGGTATGGAAGCTGTGCGAGAAGCTATGCACAGCGTCTTCCTCTACCATGCAATCAAGGTTGGTATTTCGGTGGCATGTTGCTGCTCTTGTTGCTGCCACTGCGACTGCCACTGCTGCTGCTGATGCTAGTCCTGTAAGAGGCGAATCTCAAACGAGGCACACAGTTCAGGGCTCACCACGACTGTACAAAGCGTGGCCAACGGGCATTTGGACTCAGGCCAGTCAGGGATCATAGCAGTCACTTGTCATCATGTACTGCTGGGCTGACTGAGCAGTTGTGTTCAGTTGGTCATCATCCAATGCCTTTACATTGACATACCACTGCTGTTTTGCATGACTTGTGTTACAACCCCACCATTGATGTCGTTATGTTTGCATTCAGGCTGGCCTTGATATGGCTATTGTTAATGCTGGAAACCTCCCAGTTTATGATGATATTCCGAAAGAGCTACTGGACATGTGCGAGAACCTACTCTGGGACAAAGATCCGAATGGCACCGAGAAACTGCTGGAGTATGCTCAGGTTAGCCAAGGGCCGTTCTCATTCTAACCTCTATCTTTCAATTTCCTGTCAATGTTTGAACATTGAGATGCGTACACGTGCCATCCCAGTCCTGAACACATGATTAAATGTGTCTTTTTGCTGCCTTCTTAGGGAGCATCTCATAAGTTCGCACTTATTTTGTAAACGTAACGCATTTCGAATAGACTTTACCCCCCTACCTCCCCCCTCTATTCGAAAGTCTTATCGCACATTTTCCGTGTGGATCTAATACTGTACTGTGCATGTCCATGCCCATGTACAACATTAATGTGCACTGTACGTGGACATGAATGTCAAAGACTAAGTGAATGGCATACAGACTACTTACCGTAGTCAGTAGTACCCCATCTACATGATATGACTGTAGATATTGAGTACAAGTACAATGAATGATATGTACACGCACATAAACAGAGTTCCTCCACAACAACTAGTGTACTGACTCTGTAAAAGCTAGCCAGGTACACAGTTTGATCAGGCTGGTGTGACATTTGACACCTCTGAGTAGCCTGCATGCATGCAGTGTATGCAAGGTAGCTGATCTCCAAACACAGGTCAAAATATAGATGTACACCTAAACACACTCATTTGCTGAAGTACTACAGAACATGCACTGCATGCACATTATGTACACATCCAGAAAATGTGCGAATTGTCATTTTTCTATTCGAAAAGGGCGTTACCCCCCTACCCCCGTTTCGAAATGCGTTACGTTTAGGAAAAAAATGCAAACTAATGAGATGCTCCCTTAGGTGTTGTGTGTATGGATATGCACGTGTGTATGTAGTAATAAGATCCCATGCATTTCAGGCCCAGGGCCAGCTCCCGAGGGTCAGTACGGCCCCAGGTTGGCTACAGGGGAGATCATTTCCCTGTGGCCAATTTTGCTATCATAGCATGATGCCTATCTAGCTCTATGCTGCATCATATCTGGTTGTGTCAGCTGCACACATTCCCCTAGTAACAGATATACAGCTAGCAGCACAGTAGTAGTCCTCACTAGACAAGAAGAACAGTTGATGAGGGAAAGTCTAGTGAGGAGTGTACAAGGATGAGGGAAAGTCTAGTGAGGAGTGTACAAGGATGAGGGAAAGTCTAGTGAGGAGTGTACAAGGATGAGGGAAAGTCTAGTGAGGAGTGTACAAGGATGAGGGAAAGTCTAGTGAGGAGTGTACAAGGATGAGGGAAAGTCTAGTGAGGAGTGTACAAGGATGAGGGAAAGTCTAGTGAGGAGTGTACAAGGATGAGGGAAAGTCTAGTGAGGAGTGTACAAGGATAGCCTATTACTGTAGAGCGGCTAATTTCAGCGGTTGTATAAATTTTAGCGTTTTCTGAATCAGGACCAATTCGCGATGACATTATGTTAGCAATCTAAGTCTCAGAGTTTAAAAAAGAAAGAAAAAAAAGATGACTAATACTGCAGTGTACTTTGAAGTACATGCAAAATTTCTATTGGCGCGGCAAAACTTCAGCGAAAACACTCCTTTCGCTAAATTCGCTAAGATTAGCCGTTTTACAGCACACTGGACATTCCATGGACGCTGGAATTTGTAAAACTGACATGGCCCTTGCTGTTGTTGTTGCTCTTGTTGTTGCTCTTGTTTTGCTGTTGATGATGATGTTGATGATGATGTTTGCGACTTTGCGCTGGTGCTGCTGCTTCTGCATCTGCTGCCGCTGCTTGGTGGTATAGAACATGAAGGCAGGCGCAAAGAAGACAGGTCCTACAGATGAGTGGCGGCAGAAGAATGTTGAGGAACGCTTGGAGTACTCGCTTGTCAAGGTGGGTTGCTGTTTTCATCAAGAGCGGTAGACCTTTGGTCTTCTCTCTGTATTATCCTTGGCTCTCCATCTGAGTCTATCAAGTTCTGCTTTGTTGTTGTTCTTGTTGTTCTCTAGGGTGTTGATAAGTTTGTTGTTGTTCCTGTTCTCTAGGGTATTGATAAGTTTGTTGTTGTTGTTCCTGTTCTCTAGGGTATTGATAAGTTTGTTGTTGTTGTTCCTGTTCTCTAGGGTATTGATAAGTTTGTTGTTGTTGTTCCTGTTCTCTAGGGTATTGATAAGTTTGTTGTTGTTGTTCCTGTTCTCTAGGGTATTGATAAGTTTGTTGTTGTTGTTCCTGTTCTCTAGGGTATTGATAAGTTTGTTGTTGAAGACACAGCAGAAGCTCACCTGTGTATCGAGAAGTACCCGCGGCCACTGAATGTCATTGAAGGTCCTCTTATGAAGGTATGGTGTATGGAGTGTTATTGTATCGTTAGTATGTTGTTGTGTTATGACTTGACATTACTGACTCGTGGTCATCCAGAGCAAATGAAAAGCTGGATGGACCATTAACACAGCACGTCGAGGCAGAAGTGCTCCCTGCTCTGGTTCACATGTGTTGGAGAATTCGCTGCCGTCCGGTGAGGTTGAATAACGCTAGGCTTGGTGTACTCTGTGCCCCAAACTCCGAACAGCTACATGAGTCAGTTTTGTACATGAGGAGGTTGAAGAGAGATGATGATGGATGGCATTTCGCCATTTGCACCGTTGATGTTCTAATCCAAAAATGTGTTATGATTCAATTCTTTGGGCCTAGTCACACATGCACTCAAAAGTAACAGTTCCGCTGAAACAACGCCGCAGGATCGGAAAATACCATGGCAACTGTGAAAAGCGGAACTTTCGCTTCAGCGAAAACTCAAATCCGCTACCTCCAACATCTTGGGAGCGGCGCTCTCGCTTCAGCGGAATACACCACGTTCTGCTGCATATGGGTGTGCTATGACTATGATTTTTTTTGTGCGTATGATGTGCATACGATAAAAAAGCATGGAAGATATTCATGGTCCCGTACCGTATGCACCACATTCCACTTCACTCCCATTTTTCCGCCAAAGATTAGCCTCCCCGGTCTGGATGTGTGTGGCCATGCACACATAGTTTCGCTGGAGAGGCACAGGCCTCGCTGTCGAAGTGGAACCCCTGTGCATGTTTGACCGGCCCTAACAAGCTGCTGCTGCTGTAAGGACCAAACTCCAGCAAACTCACTGTAGGGATCGCCACTTACTCTGAGTCTATCTTATGTTTTACCCTATATTTCTCCCCTCATTTTTCATCATTGCTCTATAGTATATTCTATAGGATTCATGCCTGCACTCAGCACTGATTCATGCCTGCACTCAGCACTGATTCATGCCTGCACTCAGCACTGTGCTGTACTGTGTGTGTTGTGTACAGGGCATGAGTGTTGTAGGTGATCTCTTCGGAGCGGGCAAGATGTTCCTGCCACAAGTGATCAAATCTGCACGTGTCATGAAGAAGGCCGTTGGCTACTTGATTCCGTTCATGGAGGAGGAGAAGAGGAACCGCATCAATCAAATGCGCGAGTCAAATCCTGACATCGAGAGCAATGAGGTAAGTGCCTGTCACACATATCCCTCTGCTTGTCGTAACAGATTTGCTACAAGTCGTGTACTATAGTCCATTCACCTAATCAGAGCCCATAGGTTTTTCACAGTCTCACTTCATTCTTATTCAAGATCGCGATGTCGAGGACGTATACTAGTATAGGTCAGAAATATGATAGCCGTTGTTTTAATTAAGCCTAAGATGAAGTGAATACGGTGAAAATTGATCAAGATATACGCGAAAAGTACTGTTTCAGAGTTCAGACACATGTTTCAGGGGCCCAGGTTTGGCGAATGGATAATAGTACTTGTAAGTGTTCTTTCATGGGCCACATACATCAAGAATAACCTGTCGTATGTGTCGGTTATGCCGTGCTCTACCATCCATGTTTGCCATTAATGGCTGCCCATTCCTATGTAGCAGGGCATTCAGCTTTGCTGGCATAAGGCTTCAACTCTGCTAGGAATTCTCTTTCAAAATTCGGTACTGCTAGTGATTGTGTTGCCATTGTAGCAACAAAGCAGCTGCATTGTGTACATGGCTACATAATTGTCTACATGGCCTCTTGTCGCGCGTTGCATTGCATGCACCGTAGTGCATGGGGTGACCTTTGTGCGAAATGTTGTACCCCCCCCCATACTATATTTTAAAACTTAAGTTCTCTCTTGTCTTTTACGTGTGCACATGTACATGCGTGCCTACGTGCGGGTGCGTTTGTTCATGCGCGCGCGTGTGTGTGTGTGTGCGTGCGTTTGTGTTGTCTCTTAGAGCATGTATGCAGGAACGATAGTGTTGGCAACAGTAAAAGGCGATGTCCATGACATTGGCAAGAACATTGTTGCTGTAGTACTGGGCTGCAATAACTACCGGTAAGACTGTGAGAACATGATTGACCGTGTCCTTGTGTCCTACATGTGTCTTGCTGGTGGGATTAGGAGGGGGGGGGGGGGGTGCATGGGTACGTGCCCGTGCATGCGTATGCATGTGCATATGTTCCCAGTTGGTCCAGTCAGATTTGTAAGTCCCACTGCAACCAAATTCTGCTTGCCCTTGTGTTTTTAGCTTTTATGATGTTTTATCATACACATTCTGAGAAATAAACGTGTACATGTGTATACTGCATACACGAGTGGTACTGAGCTAGGCATATAGTGCATGCTACTGTTCCCGGGGGAAACTGCGATTCCACGAATGCAAGTATTTCAGCGGTTTGATATAAATCCAGGTAGTCTGCAAAGTTTTCTGCGGTTTTTGACGTTTTTGTTTTATGATAACATTGACCAGTCCTGAGTCTATACCAGGGAGTCGTACTCAAACTAGGGAGGTGACACGGCACAGACATCCGTGTCACAGGGGTTGCCTCGCACACGTTGTTATTTTTGGAATAGTCCATCCAGTCCGAAAGGTCATATGCAGATCGACTTGCCTTCTGTGCTTCACCTCCAAGCGTGCTGCATGGGTGTCTAGTTTTTGAAATTTTTGAGGCAGCCCATTTCGTTTACAGCCCATCACTCGCCAGTATTCTTTGAAAGACTACCAGCAGTTTTTTAGCTCCTGCCATGTCCGAACTACTTGATAGCAGTGGTGGCAACAGCAGCAGTTATGAGACGGCATGTAGTGTTGCGGTAACTGTTCAGAACTGTTCAGAGTCATATCCTAGGCTAATCCGAATACTAAAAATTGACCCAAATTGCACATAACACGAAGCTGGTTTTTGAAAAATGTAAGTCGTATATCTGCCCCATTTCTTCTTTATGACTTGCACAATGGTCCAGTTTGCCTAAATAATACATTTATAGCAGGGGTTAAGTACCATATTAGAGAAGTACAGCCAGTGATATTGTCATGTTGAAATACTACAATTTTGACACGAATTACACATAACACGAAGCCAGGTTTTGAAAAATGTAAGTCATATATCTGCCCCATTTCTTCTTTATGACTTGCACAATGCACTAGTCTTCCTAAACAATACATTTTTAGCAGGGGTTAAGTACCATACAAGAGAGCTACATTGTACATCTAGTCATACTGTCATAAACAGCCAGCATTTTTCCTGCAGCAGTCACACCACCATCGTCATTATTTCCACGGAAATCCTCTTCCATTGTCAGCTCCTACGTCGTTAGATACAATGTAGGGGGCTTTAGGACCGGCTCCTCAAAAATAGAGAACCTGAACAAGCGTACTCGGGACCTCTGAGCAATCGTAGTGTGCCTGAGCACTCCAATAAAAACTTGATCAATGGCAAAATCGTTCCCCACAGAAAAATCATACTTTGCGGGTCTTGCGTTGTACGCTTCGAGGTGAAGTACAGAAGGCGAGACGATCCGCATATGACCTTTCGGACTGGACTGGATGGACTATTCCAATAACAACGTGTGCGAGGCAACCCCTGTGACACGGATTTCTTGTTCGTGTCACCTCCCTAGTTTGGGTACGACTCCCTGGTCTATACGTATGAGTTGCGTGCGCCCTACTTTTAAAAACTTTCTTTTTGTAAATTTCCTTTTCACTCTCTCAACCCTCTTGATGAAAAATAGGGGGCTTTCTGGCAGGCAAACTATGATTTCAGGTCTTTTGCGTGGATTTTTTCAAATTGGGTGAAATTTTAGGGCGATTTCAGGGCTTTTGCGTGGATTTTTTCAAATTGGGTGAAATTTTAGGGCTCGGAAACTACACTACACGCCTCGACCAGTATTGCCAAAAATCCGGTATACTGTATCATCTGTTTAACCCCAAGTGACAAGCAACACAATACAAAACACAGACTGCACCTGACACATAGTCAAGGAATCGCACTGCTGTAGATTCATACACTAGCAGCATGTCTAGATACGAATCACATGGGAACTACTAATAATTTTCATAACAAACGTGTTGTCTACTTCAACGGCAAAGTCAATCTACGTCCGCACTCTTTATGTTTGTATGTTACTGCTGTACAGGGTGATTGATCTGGGAGTGATGACACCATGTGACAAGATCCTGAAAACGGCCATTGAAGAAAAAGCTGGTGAGAACTTGCTGCGTATTTTATTTTGTATGATGGGTGGTAGGTGGTTGTGGTGTAGTGGTGGTGGTGAAGTTTCTGAATTTCTATTTTATTTTAGTCATTAGCCCCGAGCTTTCTGTGTGTGTGTGTGTGTGTGTCCGTCTATCTGTCTGTCTGTCTGTTCACTATTGGTTCAGAAAGCAGGCCTAGACTCTATATTGAACAGAATGTGAAACTCCCTACAGATTGATTTCTGATGACTGGTCTTGGGGCATCGTGAAAAGTTGAAAATTGTACTTTCAGGTATTCTTATCTTCTTTGCTTGTACGTGCTTTCAGATGTCATTGGCCTTTCTGGGCTGATCACTCCATCCTTGGACGAAATGATCTATGTGGCGAAGGAGATGCAGCGTAGTGGAATCAAGTTACCGCTACTTATTGGTGGTGCCACGACATCTCGTACACACACAGCTGTTAAGATTGCGCCTCGTTATGCATCACCTTGCATCCATGTGTTGGATGCATCCAAAAGCGTTGTTGTGGTAAGTAGGGAGGATGCTAGAATGTAAAGCACCAGCAGCACCTCATCTCACAACTTGCCCCAAACAGGGGAAGTGTTTTTGCTTATTTTGGGGACAGGGACAACTGTGGCTGCTGCTTGTTTCGTGGATTTCAGAGCTGGCCCGACTCACCATACAAGTGGTGTACATGTAATAGCTTGGTGCTCCATAATGAAACAGGTTTCGCAAACGGCTCAGTGCACAACCCCTAAGAGTATGCAACTGTATCTACAATGTCTAGCTCTATCCAGTGCTGTGACAGCAGAGCTCAGAGCTCCCCATGCACATGACATGACATGACCTATCTGTAATTTAATAGATTACGCTAGGAAGCAATGTGAAGTGACCAGCAGACTGCCAATGTTCCACATAACATGTATGAACTTCGAATTAGCCTTATGTAGCAGTAGATTTTATGTGGCACTACCGTTTGTGATACATAATAATAGAGAGATTCTGCTACACGGAACCGCGTATCAAACTCCGTGTCAACTGCAGTGAAGTTCGACACGGATTTTTCATACGTTGCACCGGTTCTGCTGTACGTAGCATGCTGGTAGCATGCTGGAACACCCCGCCACATGTACTCTGTACGCTCAGTTTTCACACGGAGTCCAGTCCGTGTGAAGCATGCTTCACACGGAAAACGGTATGAAAAAATCCGTATGAAACTTGATCCCGTACCGCAGCGATGTTTCCATACGTACTTTGGCACGTTTTACCGTGTGGCAGAACCTCACTACAGTCCATTTCAAAACTATAGACGCGCAGTGTTTTTGAAATATTTCAAATTTGGCTGGAACTTTTTGAGAATAGTTTTCGGAATATTGCTCCGGTCCGCTCCACAATTACTCTCATATAGTTTCTAAACGATTGGATAACAGACGCCCAATTTGGAAAAGTTTATGCACAAAGTGATCACAGATTTTATGTGGTATAGATGCTGGCATAACGGCTTTTGCCTAGGTACGCGTCTATAGTTTTGAAATGGACTGTAATGACAATATCCATCGAATGACTGAGAGGAGGACATGTGATATCATCTGTGTTACCAAAAGAATATTCGTTCGTTCGTTCGTTAAGCCAAAGAATATTCGGCTGCTAGGTTTTGACATTCGTTTCCCACTAATGTACTGATTTCATTTCCGGGAAGGGTTGGGTGAAATCTGTTTCTTCTTGTAGTTGTCTACAACGTCAAGATAGTATCAACGTCTTGATCAGTGTTGCCCATATCAGAGTGTCTTTACTTCGTGTCTTTTTCTTCTCGTTTGGTACGCTAAGGTTTCCTCGCTGCTGGATGAAGTACGCAAGGAAGAATTTGTGGAGGATATGAGCGAGGAGTATGAGGATATTCGTCAAGACTATTACGACTCTCTCGAGGTACCGGTGCAAATTTACTTGTATTGTTGCCTGATATTTTCGTCCATGGAATCCGGACTCAAAATTTGCTTCATCCGGCATGAAGACATGCTTGCACCAAAATGAATCGTTACCGGATACCCTTGGTGCAGCGGAAACAATCTTGATATGCTAAGATTCCTGTGATGCAGGATGCATGTTGAACCCGTAACATGCATGCCAAGTTGCGAAACCCCAAAGACTTGTTTTAACTGACCTCGGCCCATGGATGATTTTCACTCCAAAGAAGCGCACTATCCACGGTATCTTCTGGAAATGTTTGTTTCATGTTTCTTTCGATTTCGCACTCGAAAGTGCAAGCATTCACGCTAAATTTCTTGTTTTGTGACACCAAGCGAAAATTCCCACAAACGTTCGCCGAAATGGGAAGAGTGCACCCTACCAGATAGGGACTTGTGCGGAGTAGTTCTCTTGAAGTATCATTTCGTTCTTGTAGAAGCGCAGATGAATATGAAGCTTTCAGAACCTGGAGCCTTTCAATGTACTTGTAGCTGCGTTCAATGACAGTAAACCAGCATGGCCTTTTTGTAAGAGACGCACGCAAGTGCTCGCTGCTGCACTAGTGAGTAGTGCATTTCATCGGTTTATTCATCAATACTTTAATAGGGTTGCATTCGCTTGGGAGTAAGGGTTGATAGTATCACAGCCTTCTCAGACTCAGACCATTTGAGTCAGAAGACTACAGGTTCTGAAAGTTTGTTCATACTTCTATAAGAGCAAAATCACAACCCGGCATGTTGTCTTGTTTTGTACATTTTTTAAGCGTTTGTTTACGACTGGCCACTGACAACTTGGAACTACCAAAATCTCTTTGTGCCAAAATAAGCTGTTATATTTCTTTTTCATGATTCCGTGTTTTCTACCCAGGAAAGGAAGTATGTCAGCCTTCAAGTGGCTCGCAAGAAATGTGCACAATTTAATTGGCAGACCTTTGAGGCAGGTTAGTGTACGGGCTGGCGAATCCTCTGCAACTTGTGCATGAATATGCATTCACACACATGAATATGCATGCACATGCATGCACGCACGCACACGGGTGGTGGCAGTAGCGATGGTGACAGCAGGTCGAGCGGCAGGTGACAGCCCTGAAGCAGAGGCAGGACAGTAATGGACTGCTAAACCCTCGCCACTCGGGAACCATCGGTCGCAATGAGACACTGGCAGGCACATTTTGCTATGAGACTGGTTGTCCACGCTGCTCAAGTATGTGTTTGTGTCTCACTAGATGACTGTAGTGTTAGAACTGCTGAGAGCACACTCGCCACCTACAGCAGGCACTGGCATCGGGGTAGCAGAGATGTCAGCTGCATACGCTAACCGCCAGTCCGAGCGGGAGTCACAGGCAACTTTAAACCAATCTGCCTCGAGGCCACGGGTGCGGAGATCTTTGACGGTGCAGTCCTTCCACCGCCGGCGTGGGCCATGTGCTGGGCGACGAGAGAGCTGGGTACCAAACAGTATCTGCTTCAGCAGGCGAATGTCCTCCAAGCGGGCAACATGACCCAGCCATTCAAGATGACGGTGTCTCAGCTTGCTTGCGATCGTCTCTGAGTCAATCAACCACTGAAAGAGCTGGGCATTTGAGATATGCTCACTCCACCAACGCTGGCTAGACACTCCCAGGATTGATCGCACACAACGCATGTAGAACACAGAGAAGCAGTGGATGTCCTGCCTGACTGGGGCATCAAACACTCTGACTCATACCGCAGTAGCCATAAACACATGCATTGGACACCTCACTTGACATGGAGATGTAGCTGGTGGTTGCTGAACACAGCTCCTCGCTGCAGAGCACCACAAGCACGGGAGGTACTGGCGATACGGGCGCTGCCATCCTACGACCATCTGCCGTCATGCGACCATCTGCCACCACAATGTATGAGGCAACCCAAATACTTGAATTCAGACACACAACAGTGACATTCGATTTCGATACCGGCCAGCCGCATTTGGCGCCCGGTCAGCGGCACACACACACACACACACACTGTACTGTATTGTATTGACAGCTACCCTAACGGGTCACGCCGCCCTCCACCCAAGCATGGGTATGATGAGGGGCAGTGGCAACAAAAACAAAAAAAACAGCAAGCAGAGAGAGATAGCAGGAGAAAGACAGCGATAGTAGTACATCTGGTGTGCGACGTATAGAAAAGAGAGATGACAAGAGATACGCACGAAAAGGAAACAATAATTATTTGAACCTGTATTATTGCAGTTCCGAAACAATCAACCAGGTGATGGAGTGTGGGCACCCGAAGTCCCACCTGGACTCCACTGGAAGAACATTCCACGCAGGGATATCAGCGATAGGCCAAGCGTTGAAAAACAGCCATGAGGACACATCGTCTAGAAGTCCACCGCGCTCGAACTGAAATTGCAGGATCAAACAATTTCCCACGCGTTGTCAGGCAGCGTAACTCTTCTCCCTGCATCACCATCCATCTCCAGCAGCCGTCTCCACTCACAGCTCATGCCTCTGCCACCACTGTACTCCGAGCTTCGCAGTTTGAAACCATTCGGGGGTCAGCTAAACCACCACGAATGGAGAGACGAGGACGACAACGGTCGTGACAGAAAAGACACTGCCCTGGCGACCGCGTCGCGGAACCCTCGCCCCAGCACACACACACACACACACACACACACACACACACACACACACACACACACACACACACACACACACACACACACACACCTCAGTCTCAGACCTCAGACATGCCCATCGCGGAAGCGATGATAGCGAACAGCTATGTTAGACATAGCAACTTGTGCTGGAATTACACCATTCAACAGCTTGCAAGGCTGATGAATTGACCGCCACTATTTTTAGCCTGGTATCCACCACACAGCTGTTGGAAGTGACTTTTTCTGGCCAGTGAATCACACACACACACACACACACACACACACACACACACACACACACACACACACACACACACACACACACACACACACACACACACACACACACACACACACTCTCTCTCTCTCTCTCTCTTTTCTCTCTCTCTTTCTCTTTCTCTCTCTCTTTTGTACTAATAGTACCTGCCATCTGTGTCTCCAGGAAACAGGAGATGGGTACAGAGCAGTGAAATGATATTTGACCGTTGTACAAATTGAGATCGGAATGAAGTCCAGCATTGATTTTTCCTGTTTTCATGATCTCGTGCATTGCTTCCAGTGGCTCCTAAGTTCTGTGGCTCTCAAGTGTTCAAGGACTATGACCTGAACACGCTGCGAAAGTTCATTGACTGGAAGCCATTTTTCGATGTGTGGCAATTGCGTGGCAAATATCCCAACCGTGGATTCCCTAAGATCTTCAAGGACAAAGATGTTGGTGAGTTTTCCTGCGTTCACTGGTCTGTGCACGTATATTACATTTATAGTTTCCTTTTCTGTACAGAACACGGAATGAGGCTTGGGTGCAACTCTGAGTACAACCCCAAATCGATAGCCAGGCAACACTACATGTACTACTAGGAAGAGCTCATAACCCCCAAGAATGTGCTACTCCAGTCAATGGGGTCTGTGACTGCAGAACTTCACATCACATGACAAACCCGTACACACTATCTGCAGGAAGAATTGCTACAGTACTGTCGGGTGTCAAAGAACGGAGTGCCAAAGAATGGAGTGCCAAAGAACGGAGTGCCAAAGAATGGAGCGCCAAAGAACGGAGTGCCAACGAACGGCCAGGCTAGAATTTCATCAAGCACAATGTATGCACGGCGACTTGACTGTGCATAGACTGCAGTGTATATGAAAAATAATAAGAATGGCCTAGGCTAGGAGGCTGACCTCCCGTTCTTCGGCTAGTAGAAGAGGGCGAAAGCAGCATGCATGTCAAGCACTGGTGTACCTAGGCTATAGGGAGGGACAGTATGCGAATTTGAGTCTACTCATGTTGACTCGGTATGTAGTGATCAGATCTGAGATCTACTTGCAACTACTCCTGGCTGGCGTACACATAATGGAAGGACACTCTCATTTCCAAATAGCAACATCCCCATAGCAACATCCCCATAGCAACACGCCGCACAGTGATAGATACTCTGAGCACATGACGGAAAATCCGCAGAGAGCGGTGTCTCCACTATAACGGCAGAATCTGCAACTCCCTTTTCAGGTCCCTAAGCCAATGCAGCTTCAATAACAAAAAATAGGATTGTTTATAGGAGAGACAAGTCACAACTGCTCCGCAGCATATTTTCTCTAATCAGCCATGTGGAACGTCAGTACCGTCCGTCAGTGTTGTGCTATGTTATCGCACGAGCTGATCGTTCAGTAACTGGTGGTGTTAGTGGACATTATAGCGTAACTTGTAGTTCCCTGGTCCTTTTCCTTTCTATAAATGTCACATTGATTGAGTTTTGTCTTTTTCTAAAAGGCCTGATACGAGGTATATCTTGGGCCGGCTGTCTTTGGGTCTCTTTGCATTTCATACATGACGTTGCCTTGTCCAATGAGAAAGGGGTAGCGAGAGACTGGGGGTCTTTTCTTGTACTGGATGTGAAGGAGCAGTTGTCAGAAGAAGTACATCAATTGTGTTGCACAACTGCTCTTGTGGTGTGGTAGTTTTACTGTCAGCATAATGCACCAGTATTGCTTTCCCAGTATTGGGTCCTGAAACACATTTTGGAGTCAACGGCTCAACAACTCGGTGCTCAGTTTTGTTCCTCATTTGCAGTCCATTTGCTGTCCTTTTCTTTGAATTGTTTGTATTAATCCTCTCCTTTCTGCTGCTTATTTATTGCGATGGCAAGGTGCTGAAGCACAGAAGGTGTATGACGAAGCAAACACGCTTCTTGATGACATCATTAATAACAAACTTCTTACAGCTCGAGGACAGGTTAGCTTCTACCCAGCGCAAAGTGATGGCGATGACATCATACTGTTTGAGGACCTGGAGTCGCTGGCGGCCGGTAAATCCATGTCTAGGCTGTATGGCTTGCGTCAACAGGTTAGTACTGGAAGCTGATGATCTTGCACACAGTGTTTGCAGTATACATGAAGTACAATGGATAACATGTCAGTGTGTCAATGTGTCAATGTGTCAATGTCAATGTGTCAATGTGTGGCATCTTTACCTACATACATGTAGTACAGTGCTGGCAACTGAAATCCAACCCCCTGAAGACCCCCTGAGCGGTGGGTTCACATCCTTTGCGAATTGAGCGCACCGCTCAGGGGTCGGATTTCAGTTGCCAGCACTGTAGTACGTCACATTGTGAGTAGGTGAATGTGAGTGTATAGCTTTCTTCCTCCAATTTAAATAAAAGGATGATTTTTTAAGTCAATGCTGGTATATCGCTTGCACCCTAGCTTAGTGGTTAAGAGTATCGCTGGTCATGGCCAAGTTCCAGGGCAAGTCCCGATGAGGACAGTCAAGTTTCTATTTAAACGCTTTCCCTTTACAATTCCTGGTTGAGGATTGTGCAATGTTGCAACATGTATGTAGTCCACCTGACCAAGAATTTGCTGCACGCACCGAGTCACCAAGCGCCAGAAATACATGTACCTTGATTGGCTTAAGTGAATGTTCACTATAAAAGCTATTGATTTTTGTTACTCTATTTCTGCTGGCATTGCTGCTGCTGCTGCTGCTGCTGCTGCATGTATTGCATGTATTGCATGTATTGCATGTATTGCATGTATTGCATGTGTTCCACTGTTGGCGTTGCATCTCTGCCTCTCCTGTATCTGCTGTCTCCTTCCTCTGTGTTATTGCCATTGTGAAACAGTTGGAGAAAGAAGCAGCAGCTGTTGAGCCCTACACATGTCTATCTGACTTCATTGCGCCAGTGTCTTCTGGAAAAGTCGATTACATTGGCATGTTTGCTGTTTCAGCAGGCTTTGGTGTGTCCGAGCTGTGTGAGGAGTAAGTGATAATTGTTTTACTGCTTCCCTCATGTTTCTACTTTCTAGTGACTATGCACAGCTGGTGTGTCTGTCTTGATTCCAGACTAGAGAGCCCAGTCACCAAGAGTCCATAAGCCCTGGAGTTTGATATCAGTACATGGGGCTGCATTTGGATATTTGGAAATTCCGGATAATTCGAAGAAATTTGAGGTTGGAACGAGAGAGCTTGGAAGCTCAGGGCCCTACGCTATGCTTTTTTGCCTTGATGACCTGGACAAAAAAAAGCATAGGGATGTTATAAATTTTTCAATTCTCCTATTTTTTTCAAGGCATTACCTGGGATTCGAACCCGCACAATCGCTCTACATTCATTCCCCGATACACTTCGCATTCATACTCATTCTTCCAAGTTGCTTCACGTTATGATCTTGCGTTTGAAAGCCCTATTTGAAGTGGCCAGCTGTTTGTGGCCAGCTGTGTTTGATGGTACGGTACGGTACGGGACAGGTACGGGAGCCAGCAAATATTGTGGCCAGCTGTTTGTGGCCAGCTAGCTGTGTTTGATGGTACGGTACGGTGCGGAAAGATACGGGATAGCGCCAGGCGTGACACAAACAAACAAACAAACAAACACCAAATTAAAGCTGTGTGGACCCTGGCTAGCGCCAGACGTTACTGAAGTAACGTCTTCTGCATAGCTACGGGAATAAAAGGGAATAAACCTGTCTGTATGTGTGGTTAGGAATAGCATACACACTACGTATAGCGGTCTATCCTTGTGTTGTTGCTCTGATGTCAGTAATATTGTTTTTGTATTCATTTCAATTTGCCTGACTAGGTACAAGAGTCAGATGGATGATTACAATGTCATCATGGTCAAGGCCCTTGCTGATCGCCTAGCTGAAGTATGTACTATAGCAGTTCTGTTGTTGTAAAGTGCTGTTGTGAGCCAACTCATGGCCTTCATTTTACTCACTTTTACTGCGTAGTGCCTGTGCCTGGCATGGCCTTGGAGTATTCTGGTGAGCCACACAAGGCTTTAGTTGGCTCCAGCCTCTTTGGATATGAAGTGATGCTTCTGTTCTTAGTGCATCACCTTCACAGTCGTTCAAGCTACAGTAAATTATTATTCTGACCAGTGTATTATGCTGCACAGTGCTCTGGCCATGTAGGAACAAAATTCTGCAAACATTGCATTTTAGTAGTTTTAGGTGTTTAGGCTGAGCCCCACGTACTGCTGTATTATTGTTACAATTGGCCATGCCCAAGCAAGCTCTTCAAAATATTTTTGATTTTCAAATTTCCTTCGTCTTGGATGCATTTTTCTTGACAGACTTGTTTGCTTATTATTTTGAAATGGACTGTTTTAGTTATTATTTATCCTCACTTCATTTCTTGCAGGCTTTCGCAGAGGAACTTCATATGCAAGTGCGACAACATCTCTGGGGATATGCACCGGATGAACAGTTGCATACTGAAGATCTACTCAAGATCAAATACGATGTAAGTTTCAAGTTTCTCCCAATTAGTGCGGACACTTCCTGCGCATTGTCTTTCATCAAATTAGGTGTGGGGAACTCAACTTGCCCTGATATTCACTGAATCTGAAATCTATGGAGCTTTCGAGCGAACCTTGCCACGATCAAGTGAGCTATTGAGAACTCAAAAAGGTTTGCTATCCTCCAGAGTGGATAGAGATTTCAACCCGCCATGTACACAAAATGAATGGCGCGTTTACATGACGCATTGCGCTTGACCCGGGTTGAAATTTCGCCCCGGGTTGATTTTGAAATCAACCCGGGGCGAGAAAATCGTACAAATGTACTTCTGTGCGTATCTCGCACCAGGTTTGAATAGCACTGCACATGCAAATTTCGCGCGAAAGTATTCGCGTGACCATACAGGACTCTAGAAGTGGACTTTTGGCGGCATATCAGTATTTGACCCGGGTCAACTGTCTCCATGTAAACGCTCACCTATTTTGTCTATCGTACAGACTTTCAACCTGGGCTGAACTCGAGGCGGATTGAAAATTATTAAACACAGCCTTACTGGGTTTTTTTTGGTCGATTTTGCAGTTTTCGACAGCTAGCAGTTTTCGACAGCTTGTCAGGTCTCATCAGCGGAGTTCAGTGAGACTGGCTGAACCTACCATCACAATGTACATGTATTATGTGCATGTGTGTGTGTGTATGTGTATGTGCACGTGTGTGTGTGTGTGTGTGTATGTGCACGTGTGTGTGCGTGTGTGTGTGCACGTGTGTGTGTGTGTGCACGTATGTGTGTTTCCGCATATTAGGGTATTCGCCCTGCACCAGGTTACCCTAGCCAGCCAGACCACACCGAGAAGAGAACTATGTGGAAAGTCATGGATGCCTTTGCCAAGACTGGTATTGAGCTGACTGAGTCACTGGCTATGTCTCCAGCCGCTTCTGTCTCTGGTCTCTATTTCGCACACCCACGCTCCACTTACTTTGCCGTGGGTAAAGTACTGAAGGACCAGGTATGCGCTGTTTATTATAATTATATTATGAACTTTAACGCTCTTTTAATGAGCTCTTTACAGCCTTGCTGCTACCCACAGTCAACTGGGAACTTGTGGCCAGGCACAAGGGGTACATGGATGTAGCTAATGGGGTTTCTTGGCACTTGTGCCAGTGGTTGTGAGACTTATCCACTCACCCCCACCGTTAGGCGCTGCATCTGCCGCTAGGGTTTACTGGGTGTTAGCGGCCGTCGTGAGTTCCCTTTGGGAACGGACACAATATTTTTCTTTTCTTTTTTTTAACCGCAATCAGTAATACAAGCTGGATCGACATTTGTGTACACTGTATTCATGTATTGTAAAACTGTGGAGACAATGTGCAATAAAACGATGAAAATGTGAAGAAATTGTGTAGAGAAAAAAAGGAATTCAAACAAGTTTTCGTACAACACTCATCAGGAATCTTCGTTGTACTATAGGACACTGAAAACAAAGGGTTAATATTGACATCTGGACCCAAAAGACTCCAACCCAGACACCTGTTCTCTACGTGATTTCTCTACGTTTCACGTATAGCAGAATTTCACTAATACCGTAAAGTACCGCCAGAGCGCCCCACCATCTCGTCCTTTCGTGGCCGCCTTGTGGAGGTGGATTTCTGTCTGTAGTTCATACGACACGGACCTTGTACAAACATTGCACATTGTGCAGTCAATCCGTACCCAGTTTACCTTCGAGCTCCTCATAAAAGCATACCAAGTGTGACCTTAGTATGAAGGTTCTCACATCGTACAAACTTAGTAGCATTCTGCCATACAATTTTCTTCCCTTGGCTGTAAAATCAAGGTGGGGCGCTCTCGCGAGACGGGGCGCTCTGGCGGTACTTTACGGTATTGGTATTCTTCAAACGTTTGCCAGTGTGCTTTTTCTTTTCCAGTATACAAGATAAGACTATAAAAGTATTAGTCCTACAGTGCAAATTGTAATTTTTTCCTTGATTCTTTGCCTGTTCGGTTGTCCAGGTGGAAGACTATGCACACCGCAAGGGAGAATCACTGGAGGAGGTGGAACAATGGCTTGGTCCTATTCTCGGCTATGAGCCAGCATAATGTATTGCTTACAGAGCTAGCTTACTTGACTTGTGTGGCAGCGGAGCAAAGCCAAGTTGCTCCATGCTGCCAAGTTGCTCCATGCTGCCAAGTTGCTCCATGCTGCCAAGTTGCTCCATGCTGCCCCTTTGGAGCATATGCTTACATGTACATGGTCCTGTATACACTCAGACACCCACACCCACACACACACACACCCACACACACACACACCCACACCCACACACACACACCCACACACACACACACCCACACCCACACCCACACCCACACACACACCCACACCCACACCCACACCCACACCCACACACACACCCACACCCACAGGACCTGTGGAATGATTCCAGAATTAGAAATAATGTTTCATCGATTTCATTTATTCTTCTCCATCTTCAATCGAATATATTATTACCTCATGTCATCTCATGTGATAGCTTTGTATTGTGTTTTTATGCCGTAATCCCTTTAGGACAGTCCCCAGTTTAGTGGTTGTAGGAATGCAGGAATGGCAATTTAGTTCCAGCTCTATTTATTTCATTGTACTCTTTTAAATTATTTTCCATCATTTTGCTGTGCTGCTACCCTATTTATTGGTTGTCTGGTAGAACTCATTGTGCCCCTCTCTCCCCCAACTCATTGTGCCCCCTATCTATCCCCCCAGCTCATTGTGCCCCCTATCTATCCCCCAGCTCATTGTGCCCCTCTCCCTATCTATCCCCCCAACTCATTATGCCCCAACTCATTGTGCCCCCTCTCCCTATCTCTCCCCCCCCCCCCAACTCATTGGGCCCCCTCTCCCTCTCCCTATCTCTCCCCCAACTCTCCCCCAACTCACTGTGCCCCTCTCCCCCCCCCCCCCCACACTCATTGTGCACCCTCTCCCCTCTCTCCCTCCTCCAGTAGTGTGGTGGGACCCAGTCACTCTGTACTGTTGTTGTTTTTAATGATGGTAACTCTTCTGTGCGCAATAAGGTGTGCATTGAACATCTCCTCCTCAGAAGGAGTGTACCGGGGAACGTGTAACACAATACTCAAAATGCTTCAATGCATTGTGTGTTTATATTGTGTTTTTAGTAAGGGTGAAAGTTGGCACTGAGATCCCGAGTTCAAGTAGTCTGGTTTTCTCCAATCGAATATTCGAGTACAGTCGTCCCTCTCTAATCCGGCACCTTTTGCAACGGCATTTTCTGCTGGATAAACAAGAGTGCTGGATTATCAAATCCTGCCCTCCAACCCGGCCCACCTGTTAAAGGGGCAGTTAAGGCAAAAATTAAAATTTCACCAGTTGTAGTCTTCGGGGTGCTGAGTCGAATGGTCTTGGTCCGAGAAAGCTGAGACGCTCCCTTCCTACTTGAATCCCAATCGAACTCGCGCACTTCCACCGAAACTGGGTGAATGCGCCCTACTAGATGGGGATTTGTATGCAAAATGTCACTAAAAGCGCCATTTCGTTCTTATAAAAGCACGGATGACCGCGATTGGCCCATATGTGGTAGTCTTTTGGACGCTGAGTCGACTGGTTTTGGTCCGAAAAGACTGCGATGCAGCGTTCCTCCTTTATTCCCAATCGAACATGGTTGAAGAAGCGGTCACGTGCTCCTGGGTGCCCAAATCACCTGGTCACCACGCCAGCAGGCGACAACTTTCACACCAAGGTTCAACTCGAGTGACAGGACTGCACCCAAAAAAGGTCAAACAGGCTAGTAAGTTGTACCCTGCAGGCACGGTGACCAGGTGACTGGTGTACGCATGAGCACGTGACCGCTTGTTCAACCATGTTCGATTGGGAATAAAGGAGGAACGCTGCATCGCAGCCTTTTCGGACCAAAACCAGTCGACTCAGCGTCCAAAAGACTACAACATATGGGCCAATCGCGGTCATCCGTGCTTTTATAAGAACGAAATGGCGCTTTTAGTGACATTTTGCATACAAATCCCCATCTCGTAGGGCGCAGTCACCCAGTTTCGGTAGAAGTGCGCGAGTTCGATTGGGATTCAAGTAGGAAGGGAGCGTCTCAGCTTTCTCGGACCAAGACCATTCGACTCAGCACCCCGAAGACTACAACTGGTGAAATTTTAATTTTTGCCTTAACTTCCCCTTTAACATACATGTTTGTGTCGTACGTCAAAACATAGGGATTTTCTGTATCAATCCAAGTACTGTACATGTACTTTTTGGAATACATGTCTTTTTACATACACTTGGGAATATCCTCTGCACTGGTATAGGATATTCCCAAGTGTATGTTACATGTGTTGTGGATGTTACAATGCTCCCTGGCGGTATGCGATGTACAACTGCTGGATTAGAAAATCGAATTTATGTACAATTTGAGTGTTTTGTTGCAGAAAATCGCTGCGGAATTCAAGTGCCGGATTAAAGCGTAGAAAACGAACTGAAAAAATCCGTTTTGCCAGAAAGTGTGCTGTTTTGCAAGGGTGCTGGATAAACAAGTGCCGGATTAGAGAGGGAAGACTGTATTCGAGTTTCTTCATTCCCTAAAAAAAAAGCACACCAAGGGCCTTAAAATCACATGATACAACCCTGATTGAACCGAGTAGCAGTCATTTTTCTTGGGTATATTGGTTGGTGGGTCATTTGGGCTCTCACTCGTGAACAAAATAAATGTCTGCACATCAATATCTGCCAACTCCTGCTCTGAAACAGCAGATTTCTGTGGTAAATACACATGATGTGCCATGTACAATGTATAAACGAGTACTGTACTCTGATTTCTTCCGAGTCGATTATTTTGAAAAAAAACGAGCGAGTACTCGAGTATTAGGTATAATTGTTTCACCCCTAGTTTTAACAAACCTTCATTAGGCTTTTCCAGTACAATCCTTCTGAAAACGAAAACATTTTTAATTATAATTATGTTAGTGCATGACAGGGAGGGCCTTATCATTATTTTTTTATACGAAAGTCCACTATATTCCCGAATATGTGCGAGAAGTGGTGGCGGGGCCAGGCTGCTCTGCCGACCTCAAAGGTCTCGGCGTCTACGCAGACAAAGCGCGTATGGCTTGTTACTGCCCGAGGGCTACCCTGAAGGGCACAAACAAGCCATTACCTGCCATGCACTAACTATATTTTTAGAACGAGGTTGCATGACTTTATTATCTCCCTTGCATTATGCCTGTGTACCCTAAATTTGGCAGTTTTGTGGTTTATGTGCAGAAAGAATTGGTATGGTATGATAGGACATTTCACACCAAGGTTCAACTCAAGGTTCAAAAGTTCAACTCGAGTGACAGGAACGCTGTAAAAGTTGTAGCCTGCAGGCACGGTGACCAGGTGACTGGCGTACGCACGACCACTTGACCGCTTACTCACCCGTCACAGTGTTCAATTGGGAGTAAGGGCAGAACGGTGCATCGCAGGCTTTTCGGGCCAAAACCAGTCCACCCAGTGTCCAAAAGACTACAACATATGGACCAAAACCAGTCGACTCAGCGTCCAAAAGACTACAACATCGCGGTCATCCGTGCTTTTATAAGAACGAAATGGCACTTTTAGTGACATTTTGCATACAAATCCCCATCTGGTAGGGCACAGTCACCCAGTTTCGGTGGAAGTGCGCAAGTTCGATTGGGAATAAAGGAGGACGGGAGTGTTTCAGTTTCCTCGGACCAAGACCATTCGACTCAGCACCCTGAAGACTACACAACTGGTGAAAAATTGATGAAGTAATCCAATGTCACTTCAGCTCATACGATCTTCCTCCTTATTGCGATATTAAAATTGTTGTCTCCTCGTCGAATATTTTTCAAAATTGATATTTTACTGAATTTTGTTTGTTCGTCTTCCCGTTGGCGTTGGATCACAAAGGAGGAAGGGAGCGTCTCAGCTTCCTCGGATCAAGACCATTCGTCTCAGCACCAGAAGACTACAACTGGTGAAAATTGATTTTAGGTTAGGCCACCCAGAATTAATTTGTTGTTTCGGGTCACCCGATCGACCGTCTTTTTTCACCTGACCGCAAAATGTTTTTTTTTATTGTGCATGCAAATGTATATGACTAGACTATGTACACATGCGACCCTAATAATAGCAGTCCAGACATCGACCTTAGAAGCAGCCAAATAACAGGATGCAGCGCTTGGTGACGATATTGTCTTCTATTATCTCCGATCCTCAGTCGGTCCTGAAACAGCACCTTCTCCACCACTGCGTCGTTCATTGACAGAAATTTGGTGAGAGCTGCTCATCAGACTAGTTTGCCGCCGAGGCCAAAATCTGGCCCTGGGACCTGAATCTGATGGGACAACGACTGCGCTGGATCGTCTACAGTCAGATTTGATTTTAACTGATGGGACAACGACTGCGCTGGATCGTCTACAGTCAGATTTGATTTTAATTTTGATCTGGCTTGATAGACAAAAGCTATTCGATATGCACAATTGCACATGCATGCACATCATGGCACTGTAGTAACCAAACTCAAAAATAAAATAAAATAAAAAATAAACCCGACCGAACGACCCTGGTGCGGATAAGTGAAGTGACCCGAAACAACGAATTAATTCTAGGTGGCGTTATCAATTTTTCACCAGTTGTAGTTTTCAGGGTGCCGAGTCGAATGGTCTTGATCCGAGGAAACCGAGATGCTCCTTTCCTCCTTTATTCCCAATCGAACTCGCGCACTTCCACCAAAACTGGGTGACTACGCCCTACTAGATGGGGGTTTGTACGCAAAAGTCACTAAAAGCGCCATTTCGTTCTTATACAAGCACGGATGACAGCGATTGCTCCATATGTTGTAGTCTTTGGAACGCCGAGTCGACTGGTTTTGGTCCGAAAAAGCTGCGATGCAGCGTTCGGGCCTTATTCCCAATCGACATGGTTGAACAAGCGGTCACGTGCCCTGCGTACACCAGTCACCGCGCGAGCAGGCGGCAACTTTCACACCAAGGTTCAACTCGAATTCAACTCGAGTGACAGGAATGCGCACAAACAGGCTGTAAGCTGTACCCTGCAGGCACGGTTACCAGGTGACTGGCGTACACAGGAGCACGTGACCGCTTGTTCAACCATGTTCGATTGGGAATAAGGCCCGAACGCTGCATCGCAGCCTTTTCGGACCAAAACCAGTTGACTTAGCGGCCAAAAGACTACAACACATGGGCAAATTGCGGTCATGCGTGCTTTTATAAGAACGAAATGGCGCTTTTAGTGACATTTTGCATACACATCCCCATCTAGTAGGGCGCAGTCACCCAGTTTCGGTGGAAGTGCGCGAGTTCGATTGGAAATAGAGGAAGGGAGCATCTCAGCTTCCTCGGACCAAGACAGCACCCCGAAGACTACAACTGATGAAAATTTGGTTTTAGGGTATACTGTCCCTTTTTAAAACTATTCACTGTACTGATGCATGGTGATGATTGTGCTTCGCTTTGCCCGTACAAGCGGCTTTCTTCACTATACAGTCGACTCCTGATATAACGAATACAGTTAGACCTCGCTTAACCGCGCACATCCGTTTCCGACAAAAAATATCTGGTTAGGCGAGGGAACCGGATAACCGAACATCGGTTATGTTGGATGCAACGCGAATGCTGTTAATTTGTAACCAGCTATTTTCTTCTGGATGGCGAGGGAACCGGATAAAAAAGGACCGGATAAGCGAGGTCTGACTGTACCATTATGCAGGAGAATTTTTCTTTATAGCCGAAGTTCGTTAGGGGTCGTCCGTATTTTTCGAAAAATTAAAAAAATCCGTCCTCAGGCAAAAAGGGGGTGGGTGGTCAAGAGCGCTGGCGGAATTTAATTTTTTGATTTTTCATACTTTTGTTAACTTCAGTGACTTTCATACACTTGTTACAGTGACTGTGTGTATGTAGTGTACTGTAGACGTAGTGTACTGTAGACTAGTAGTGTACTGTAGACGTAGTGTACTGTAGACGTAGTGTAGGATCGATTGTCGCAAACACCAGTATGATATACAGTCACACCTCGCATAACCGCACACATCCGTTTTCCACAAAAATATCCGGATAGGCGAGGGAACCGGATAATCGAACACGCATACTGTATGTA